ATCTGACTACTATTGACGATTCTTTGACTAAACCTCACTTATTGTGGTGTTCTGTGACTGCAATCGTAACAAAAACAGTCTCAAAACGTCAGAGATCCTGACTAATTTTTTGACGTTTTGTGATTTTATTTTTAGCAGGGCTCAAAGAGAAATAATTTTATTTAATATATTTTAGAAATTAAACGATTTTTTGCAGTGATAAAAAAACAAACGTACGCACAATTCATGCCGGTAGTGTATTGTCACATATTTACAAATTTTCCGAAGATCTTGAAATTTATTACAAAATATTCTTTTAGGTTGGTTAAAGCCTTTTCCTGGAGATGATACGAGGGCTTTTTGTTCTTTTTGCAAACAAGATTTTTTGACACACAAGAGATCTCTTGAAGACCATTCAAGAAGAGAGAGACACCTTCGAAATATACAAATTGATAAAGATATTCGTCAATCTACAAAACTAGATTCGAAAGTAGTAAAAGTAATCACCGATAAACGAAAGGTAGCAGAATTAAAAATAGCTGCATTTATAGCAGAACACTGTTCTGTTAACACTGTTGATCATCTATCTGAAGTAATTAATTCCTTGGATCCAGAATCAAAAGTTCTATCTCAAATTAAAATTCACAGGACAAAATGTACAGGGCTGATAGTGAATGTTATATCACCTTGTTTGTTTGAAGAGTTGATCGAAGACATAGGAGAGTCTTGGTATTCATTGATTTTAGACGAAATTTGGCTGTAACGAGAAAAGAAAATTTGTCAACATTTGCATTTAAAAATCATCTCGTGGCATCAAATTGCATAAACTTTGGTTATTCGTTCAACAACGAGAGCGCCAACTATAATCCTGCATCAGTTGCAGTAATAAAAAACAGATGCAAAGATTTTTCAATTCGACTATGCGAAGAATTGCAGTCCAGGACACCAAATAACATTCGACTTTTAGAAAAAATGAACCTTTTTAGTCCGGAAGTTGCATCACGTCAATACAAGGAGAGTATTGCAAGTATTGCTCAAGAATTTCAATGTTTATGCGAAGATGCTGTTTGTCAGGAATGGGAACTTCTCCATCGTCTTGAAGTAACATTTAACTCATCTGACGAATATTGGATGAAAGTGAGCGAAGAAAAAAATGCTGGTGGTGAACCAAGATTCAAACACATCTCAAAACTCGCCCTATCGTTACTCAGTTTGCCTTTTTCAAATGCCTCAGTGGAAAGAGCATTCTCCATTCTTAATATCATAAAAGAAAAATTAAGAAATAAGATGTCTTATGAAACTGCAGATGCCATCTTACGCGTGAGATATCTTTTAAAAAATCAAAATTGTACCAAATTTCAGCCAACTGAAAGAATGCTGCAAATAAATTTAATAGTGAAATTGTTTACGGGGGAAATTTTGACAACGACATTCTAAATGCAATATTACCTTAATATTAGCGCGTAATATTACAGTAACATTAAGGGTAATATTACCTTGAGGCGGACATTTTAAGATCACTGTAAGATTACTGTAATATTACAACGTTATATTACGAATCTTACATGTATATTACCTCTTACCTTGATATTGAGGTTATATTACGTGCTTCTTGGGAATATGATCACCAAAAATTAACTTTTAGACTGATTAGAAATAAATAAATTAATTAATTAATTTGAAATAAATGTATTTTACGGATTAAATATTTTAATGTTATGTTAAATCTGTTAACCAATGAAACTTTTAAATAAATAAAAGTTGAAAAATATATAGTTTGATTATAAAAATTCTTTAGTATATAGATACTTCATATTTAAATATATTTAACTCAATATTTAACTTAACATACAGGGTGTTCCAAAAGTATGGAAACTTGCAAATATCTCGAAAAGTACGAATTTTCGTGAAAAATGTTCAATACAAAAGTAGTTCCAAACAAAAAGATCTACATTGTTGAAACCAAAAAATTGGGCCCCGGGCCCAATGTTGGGCCCTACAATGAAAAAAGTAGTTTTCTTAAATGAGACCACTAATTTTGAATATCAAATTCGTAATCCCCATGAAATTCTGCGTTCAGACATGTGGTATAAGTGCCCAAAATATTGGGCCCAATCCAAGATATCGGGCCCAACATTTTTCGACAAACAAAAAAAAATTTTTTAAATCGTATCTTTGGGGGTTTTTGGGGTCACAGGATTACAAAATTCAAAGCTACTTTTCAAATTGGGCACAGAGCCCAATGTAGGATTCCGCGGCCCAATGTAAGGCCCACAGTAAAAAAATTAGTTGTCTAAAATAAAACCCACTAATTTCTAGTATCCATTTCGTAATCGTCATGAAATGGATACTAAAAATTAGTGGTCTCATTTGAGAAAACTACTTTTTTCATTGTAGGGCCCAACATTGGACCGCGGAATCCTACATTGGGCTCTGTGCCCAAATTTAAAAAGTAGCTTTGAATTTTGTAATCCTATGACCCCAAAAACCCCCAATGATACGATTTAAAAAATTTTTTTTGTTTGTCGAAAAATGTTGGGCCCGATATCTTGGATTGGGCCCAATATTTTGGGCACTTATACCACATGTCTAAAAGCAGAATTTCATGAGGATTACGAATTTGATATTCAAAATTAGTGGTCTCATTTAAGAAAACTACTTTTTTCATTGTAGGGCCCAACATTGGGCCCGGGGCTCAATTCTTTGGTTTCAACAATGTAGATCTTTTTGTTTGGAACAACTTTTGTATTTAACATTTTTCACGAAAATTCGTACTTTTCAAGATATTTGCAAGTTTCCATACTTTTGGAACACCCTGTATAATATATAAATATTCATATTAATAAATAATTATTAACATTATAAAATATATATATTAGTAATCTTCGGGATCTAGGAATATTTTTGTATTTCTAGGGGGAAATTCTGGTGGATTTAGGAACTTATAGAAAAGCGCATCTGGCAACACTGTGAAAAGTACATATGTAGAATTGGCCTGTTTCGACGAAGCCACATAATAAAGAAGAAGTGTCCACGTGCTAGTGTTTACATTTCACTGCTCTCTATATATATATTCAGAGTTATATTTGTATTTTTACTATTTAAATTTCATAGAATTTTTTATTATAATAATATCTTAATTTTTTATCACAAATAATTGTTACAAAATATTTAGTATCAATGAATTTTATTTAAAGATTATTCATCGTTTAATATTCTAAGGCCAGTGACATCAGCTGATTGATAGATCCTGTGGACCTGTAACTTAAAAAATAATAAAATTTTTTAATATTTACTATTGCATTTTTTGACATAAATTAAGGTAAATTGTCTAGAAGATAATATTTATTACTAATTATTTTATATGAATTTCAGCTTGTTGGAAATTGTAGGAAAGCAAAAAGTTTGTATCAAAGAACATAACCTAACTTTATAATACATAAAATATATTATGTTATAATTTATATTAAAATTTAATTAGGTACAAATGTCTAATTGTAATTAGCGCATAAAAAAGGATAAAAATAATCCTTCATTGATAAGTTACAGGATCAATCCATTATATTTCGTCTAAAGCATGCGATCTATTTTCATAAAAATCTTATAATTCGTAATAATAATTATTATTTTTGATATGCATAAAAATTCATTTTTGACAATTATTTAATCAAATTTTATACATTTACCATCAAACTTTCGTCTAAAAGTGTTTTTTTAATTTAATATATTTTTTCCAAAAAATCGCAGATTTTAAAATTATTTTATGGTTTTACTATAATAATAAAATTTGTAGATATTTATGTAAGTAGTATAAAAAAACGAAGGTATTCTTAAAAAATTCTAAATTTCGAAAATATTGAAAAAATTGTTTCCTCATGACCCATGAACAGGTTTACAATTTTTGTAAAAAGAAGTAGTTTTTTAAAAATATTTTTAAAAAAAATTGAACAATATAAACAGTTTTAAAAATAAAATAACGCTGGCTCTATACCTACGCTAACGTAAACTGATTTCCAAAACTATAGTTACGCGAAGTGTAACCTTGGCGAGAGGGGGTGAATATGGCCGAAAGTATTTAGCAGAAATTGTGGGGTGGAGTCTACAGCAGCGGTGAACGCAAAATAGTAAACACGGCCTTCGGCCGCGTAAGGTACTGCTCGCTTTTCTTTTTAAAAAAACCTTGGCGAGAGGGGGTGGATATGGCCGAAAGTATTTTGCGAAATTCGTTGGATCCTGAATAATGGTGAATTTTTTTTTTTTTTACGATAAGTGAAAAGTGAAACTTACCCCACGGGTGTCACTTTTCGAAACTTTTTTTATTTCGCGTAGGCTTTAGTTTTGGGAGATCAGTTTACGTTAATTTTTCATTTCGCTGTCACTTCGCGTAGGTTTAGTTTTAAAATATCAGCTTACGTTAGCGTAGAAATAGGCACTTCGATAAAATAACCTGTAAATTGCAAAAAAATCACAAAACACTTTTTCGTAGAGTACTAAAAGATAAAAAATTTTAGCTAAATAGAAATTGTCAAAATTAACGATATGCTGAAATGGCGTGGACTCTCATCCCTCATATATAAAATTTTATTAAATAACTGTCAAAAATGAATTTTACATGAATATTAAAAAGAATTATTACAAATTATAAGATTTTTCTAAAAATAGGCCACAACGACTTTAGGTGAAATATAATAGATCGACCCTACAATTATTATATATTTAAAGAATTAGAGAAGATGAAAAAAATGTTATAATTTAAAATTTAATGATAATTATGCGACATTTTTGTCAAGAAACAAGGTCAAATGGAGAGCGGCATATGTTATATATATATGTAGTTCAATGTTATCGCGATTAATTTATAAAATAACAACGTTATTAAAATTTACGTTTCCATTAAACTTTTTATTCTCTTGGTTGTTCATATGTAAATCAATCTTGTTAAGAAACAAGGATATCTCTCTACCATCATTATTACATATATACTGTTCCCCCCTTTCGTCCCAATAAGTTTAATGCTTCATATATAAAGCATCGTTTCTTTCTTTATTTTGCACATGTTATTTCGCTACGAACTGATAGAGTGACCACTTACATTATGTATAAACGAAGAATATCTTTAAATCTTATTAAAAGTTTCTTTTGTTTCATTTTTATTGTTTCTACTTTTGCTGATAAAGGTCAGATGACTGTAAAAATTTAATTATTAATATACTGTTGACAAAATATTCGCAAATAAAAAATAATTTTTCCGCTTATATTAATTGCAATCTTATCTCTCTTTATTTTCAAAAGTTTGCTATAAACTGAAATTTAAAAAATATTTTTTTTAAATTGTTATATACAGATGCAATAAAATAATGGTTTAAAATTAAATTTAGAGAATAAGTGGAAATTTATTATTATTATTATTATTAATATTTAATAAATTTATATTATTTTACGTTTATAGAAAAATAATGTTAGAATTTTTTTTCACACAGAATGCGATGAAATAAAATGTCCTGGACCATTAAGATTTTATGCAGATTTAAAATGTAAACCGATTTATAAAAATCCTGAAGACTGTTGCGCTGTTAAATATGATTGTTCTCATCTCAAAGGAAGATCAAAGACTAAATGTTATGTAAATGATAATGTTTATGAAATTGGTGAATCACTTAAAGAAGAAGATGCATTGCCTTGTGATATAAATTGTGTTTGCAGCGATAGATTACGAGGAATGTAAGTTTTTTTTTTTTTATTTTATTGTTTATATTTATTTTACTTGATATAATTTTTTTCGTTAGTTTTACATATTTATTATTATCATCAATTTAAAAATAATAAATAATAAAAGGATAAAAAAACAAAAGTTATTATTTGTTTTTAAAAATTTTTAATTAAAATAATACTAATTTCATAACACTAAAACGTTTTAATAATATTTTGTAAATTTATTTTATTCATCAAATAGAGCTTCATTTGAATGCGCCATTGTTGATTGTTTTCATGAAAGACCTAAACCTGGATGTTATTTAGAACATTCTGGAAAAAGATGTTGTTCAGGTCCCGAAATTTGTCGTAAGTAATATTAAATTTCCCACTAAGTTACTTAAACTAAAAATCATTTATTTAATTTTAAAATTAAATGAACATTTTTAATTGAAATATGGATTATCATGATTAAAATCAAGTAGAAATTTCTTGAAATAATAAAAAAAACTGTGATTATATTTATATTTTATCATTTTCTAAATAGAACTAATCCTGTTTTACAATAAACAGAATTTATTATCAAATTTAAAAGAACAATTTGTAAAAATTTAATAAATAAAATTATGTGTGTTTCTTTTATATAATAATGAATTTGCGAGATTTTGAGATAAAATATATATATATATATAAACAAGGCAATTTAGAAAGAATTATGTAACATTTTTTTCACAGCTACAAATCCAGTAACCTGTCTTGTTGATGGTAAAACGTTAAAGGAAGGTGATTATTTTAAACCAAAAGATAAACCGAATACAAGTTGCTATTGCAAACCCGGATATAAAGGTAAATTTTATTTAATATAACATCTTTACAAAAAAAAATAAGAATTAGTAAATATTAAAAATTATCGAAGAATTTAAAGGCAAAAAAAAATAGAATTAATTTTTTTTTTAATTTTAGGAGAAAATGTTGAGCCATTCTGTCACACTCCCAAGGGTAGTTTGTGTGGAACGGAAATGAGACATAGTTACGAAATTCATGAAAAATGCGTTCCTGTCTATTACTATACACAATCGCCTCAAACATCGTGTAGTGTTTCTTACAGATGTCGTAAGTAGAAACGTGACCCTCGAAATTTTCGATTAATAATTCACATCGCATATTTTCGAAAAACGAAAGATTATAATTGAATTTTAATGATAAATATCTCTTTATTCAAAGGACAAATGCAAAAAGAAGCTAAAAAGAATAAATTAATTATATAGAGAACTTTTTTACAATTATGGAAAAAATTCGGATTTTAATCATAAGCTTATTATTTATATTTAATATAATATTAATATTTTTAAGATTTTCATTACAAAGAAATATAAAATAAAATTAATATTTCAGAAAACAAGAACGATACTTTAATTTCTCATCCTGAAACACGAAATCAACCAGATAGTGACGAAACAAGTGAGTATTATTTATATTTAAATCTAAACCTATAATTTTCTAAAAATTTATTTAAAACAGTCAATATTGTCACGATTTTATTTTTTCTTTTCATTTAATTGTAACACCTTAAACAACGTAAATTTTGAATACTTGGAATTTAATGATTAATAATTAAAATTCCACATTTTTTAAAAATGATTTTTTATCGATAATTTTTTTCATGATATTTACCAAAGAAACAGTTGTAAGGATTTTAAAATTTTTTTCATTTTTTCAAAAAATAAATATTCTATAATTTATAGTCCTGACATAATTTTTTATTACATGTGAATTTCAATAAATAAAATAATTTTAGATTCTAAGTAATATAATTAATAATAAAAAAAGGAGAATTTATTTTGTAAAACTGAAATCATTCTTGTAAATTATATTGTAAAATTAGGACACACGAAAAAAGAATGATCCTTATTTTTATATTTCTCGTATTTTTTATTAAATGGAAAACAAAAATAAAAAGTAATTATTATATTTATTTTACAGACACTTGCAAATTTGGAAATATTGTCATGCAGATCGGTGATGAACTTAATCAAGCAACGGATTATAGTTCCGTTTGTGTAAAATGCAAATGTGAAGTTCCACCAATTCCTACTTGTCAACGACTTTCTGATGATGAATGTGACGTGACTATTCATCCAAAATTTGAATCTTAATTATTGATAATTATAACAATATTATTATATCAAATTATATAAAAATTTTAGATAAATAGCCAATTCTATCGCTATGTTTCACAACAGTGAAATTGCTGTTTTATATATATAAAAGAACTAATTTTAAGAATTGAATTTATAGTAACTAAAAATAAATATTATTTTTCAAATTGATTCAATATATTTGCATAAAAATGAAACTTTCAGTATTTAATGAAAACGATGAAGTCTTACTTTTAGGCGAAGGAAATTTTTCCTTTTCACTTGCATTATTTAATAAGAATTTAAATATTAAAATTATTGCCACTTGTTATGAAGAAGAAATAAGAAAACCTGCCGAATGCAATGTTCATGTTTTGAGAACAAATGGTTGGTATTATAAATAATAGTAAACCTAAGTGATAAAATTTTTTGACTAAAAAAAAAAAAACTTATTTTAATTTTTCTCACAGGTATTCGAGTATTATCAGGCATAGATGCAACAAAATTGAATGAATGTCAAGATTTAAAAAATAAAGTATTTGACAAAATAATATTTAATTTCCCTCATGTCGGTGGAAAAATGCGTATAGAAAAAAATCGTCAACTTTTGAAAAAATTTTTCACATGTGCCGGAAACTTTTTAAAATCAACTGGACAAATAATTGTAACATTGTGCAATGGACAGGGTGGAACTCCCGTCGATAATCCCCAAAGAAATTGGAATGATTCATGGCAAATTGTGGAAATGTCGGCACACGGCAATTTTCTATTAATCAATGTACAACCATTTGAAATGACATTTTTTGAAAATTACATTGTCACTGGTTATCGAAGTTTGGAAAAGCAATTTAACACTAAAGGTTCGATTACACATTTTTTTAGACGCACCAATAATAATAATTTTAAGGAAAATAATCAAATTGCTATCGATGTGGGAAAATTGGATTTATTAAATTTTTATGGCAATTGGAATGATATTGTGCGTGTGGAAAATTTGAAAATTAATTCCGAACCAATTTCACTTTATCCATTGAATTTTACATTTGATATTACAGTAATTGTTGAAAATTATTTTTCTGATTCTAAATTATTTGGAGTGCTTTTTAATTTTGCTGGAAAAATAATAGACAATGTTGAATTAATTGATTCGTACGAATTTTCCAATTGTAATAAGAAGACAAGGACTTATAGAATAAAATATATGTCTCATTTTATTCCCTTGCATCGAAAACGTGTGATTAATATTCATCAAAATATTATTGCAAAAATCCTTGAAGAGAATTTGCCGGTAACTGTTTCGAGGTAAATTTAAATTTTTTGTGAATTAACGATTTTAAACGTTCAAGCAAAAGTAATAATATTACTGATAAAAATTACTTCTTATTTATTAAATAGATAGATAGATAGATTTTATTTCTCCATCGTGTACTTTTTACAAAGTTTTACAATTTTTTCTTTCCCACTAGTTTTTTTTCTAAAAAGATATATACATCAACATAATGAAAAATCGTAAAATTCTTATTTATTAAATAAAAAAATGTTTATTTGATAAAAAAAAATTATTTTTATAATTCTAGTATTTTAATTTTTATTATTTAAAGCAGTTTATTTAATTATAATAAATTCTAAGTGTTAATTAATATTCAATGTATAATTTTCAATAAAAATATATTAATTTAAAAAATTTTTTAATTCAGTTTAAATTTATTTACTTAAATATTATGCTCTAAAAACAATTTTTATGTATTTTTAACGAGTTTAAAATTAAAAAAATAAAAGTGAAATATAGGCACGAATCTTATGCAATGACGTGTGCAATTAAAAAGTTTGAAGATAATTTTATCTAAGAATCGTGAGAAAATTCAAATTATATATTATATTATATGTATTCATTAAAATGAATATCAAATACTTAGTTCTTTTTTTGTTGATGTTTTAAATTCATCACGTAATTTGTGATTAATCTTATTATTTTTTTCATTAAATTTCATATTAATTTTCTTATATAAAAAAATTTATATATTAATGCTTTAGTCGCTATTTCGCATTAGTTCTGGAATTGACAATGTACCAAAATAAAGAATTTCTGTTTTTAATTGCAATAAATTTTGTTATAACAATTACAAATGTAAATGCATTCGATTATGAAAGTGAGTAAAATGAAAATTGAATTGAATATTTTTTTAGTAATATTTTACTCAAAATATGTAATTTTAATTTAAAAAATTTTTTTTAATAAAATTATTTTTGTGAGGGTCATTCCACTTGATTTCACCTATAGTCGTTGCGGCCTATTTTTAGAAAAATTTTGTATTTTGTATTAATGACTTTTAATATCCGTACAATTCATTTTTGACAATTATTTTATGAAATTTTTTTTTATTTACGTTGAAATTTAGTTTTTATGTTGAGTTGAACGGAAAATAGGTTAGTTTGACAGCTTTGGAAATTTTATAAAAAAGAACAGAAATAACTCAATTAGTAAATATTTTTTCATTGATATTTGTTGAAAATAGTCTAATTTACCAATGTTAATTGATAATTGTGTAAAAAAGCCAAAATATTACGTGAAAATAAATATTCAAACTTACCTGTAAAATATCAAAATTTGTCACACATTTTATTTATATTTTCTAAGAAAGTTTATAAATATTATAAAATTTATTACTACCTAACAATAAGTACTTTCCATGTACTTTCACATGATAAGTTGGCTTTTTATTTTTATAATATAGAAATATATGAAATTTAACATTGAATATTGAACTTTTCAGGTTTTTATCAGATTTTGAACATTTATATCTTCGCAGGCGGTTAATGAAAAAATCCCATTTTGGTATTAAAATTTAAGTTAAGTTTTCTTTATTCATCTTATCAAAATTTGGTGATGGAGAACGAGCTACTTTTTATTTTTATTCACTTTAAAAAATCTACCTTAAAATACGAATTTAAAGGTTAAAAAACAAGTAATTTTATAAAACTGAAGTTGGTCTTCTCAATATTGATTTATTTGTATGAATTTTATTTATAAAAATACTTGTTTTTTAACCTTCAAATTCGTATTTTGCGGTGAATTTTTTAAAGTGAATAAAAATAAAAAGTAGCTAGTTCTCCATCACCAAATTTTGATAAGATGAATAAAGAAAACTTAACTTAAATTTTAATACCAAAATGGGATTTTTTCATTAACCGCCTGCGAAGATATAAATGTTCAAAATCTGATAAAATCCTGAAAAGTTCAACATTCAAGGTAAAATTTCACAAATTTCTATATTATAAAAATAAAAAGCCAACATATCATGTGAAAGTACTTATTTTTAGGTAGTAATGAATTTTATAATATTTATAAACTTTCTTGGAAAATATAAATAAAATGTGACAAATTTTGACATTTTACAGGTAAGTTTGAATATTAATTTTCACGTAGTATTTTGACCTTTTTACACAATTATCAATTAACATTGGTAAATTAGACTATTTTCAACAAATATCAATGAAAAATAATTTAATAACTAAATTATTTCTGTTCTTTTTTATAAAATTTCCAAAGTTGTCAAACTAACCTATTTTCCGTGCAACTCAACTTAAAAACTAAATTTCAACGTAAATAAAAAAAAATTTTATAAAATAATTGTCAAAAATGAATTGTACGGATATTCAAAGTCATTAATACGAAATATCAAATTTTTCTAAAAATAGGCTGCAACTGCAACTGCATTTCAAATAGGTGAAATAAAATGGAATGACCCGTGAATAAATAATGTATTATATTATTAATTAAAATTACTAATATATTATTCGATATGTTTGTAAATTGTTTCATAAAATATATAATCATCAAAGATTGTGATGTCGTTGAATGTCCAAATGGACCAATAAGATTTTACGAAGACATGTACTGTAATCCAATTTTCAAAAATGAAGATGACTGTTGTCCTGAAGAATATGATTGCTCTCATGTTTATTCTTTTAATTTAAGACATTTACGTAATAATTGTATTGTTAATAATAATACTTACAAAATTGGTGATAAAATGAACGATATAGATTTACCACGTGACAAAAAAAATTGCATTTGTGCAAAAGAAAATAATTACATGTAAGTAAATTAATTCATTATATTATTAAAAAAAAATTTTATCTTTCAAATCAATTTGGTTAAGACAAATTTTATTAGAAATGAATATAAATAATTCTTATAAAGTAAACATACAGTTGGAAAATATTGTATTCTTTTAAAATATCACGTTATGATATTTATCATAATTATGTACCAATATAATTTTTTTCCATAAATGTAGACCTGAATTTAAATGTGAAGATAAATGCACCGAAATAATAGGGCGATATAATCGAAGGACTTGTTACATAAGAATATCAAGAGATGTTTGTGTTAATCAAGTAGTATGTCGTAAGTAATTAAATTAAAAATTTAATTTAATCAATTTTATTAAATAATAAAGTGTTAAAAAAAAGTTTCAATCCGAAACTTCTATGGAAAAAAAATTTTGTAGTATATTTTTCTAAAATAGAAAAAATTTTAAAAAATTGAAAATAAAAGAATTTAAAAAAAATAACAATATGATGTTATAGTAAAAAAATTATAAAATTTAAATGATTTTCTTCTTAATCATCTTTGTAGCTAAAAGGCGATTAAGATGTTTAATGGATGGTGTGAGAAGGATAGAGGGTGAAACGTTTTTTTTAAAAAAACATCCACTTAAAGAATGCATATGTCAAGCTCCAAATTCAGAAGGTAAAATGTGAACAGATCTATAATGTATTTAAAATATTTAAACAATACAATATGTAAATATAATTTTTCTACATTGTTCAATTAAAGGGGTCAAGATTTTCTGTTTTAACCATAAAAATTTCTGCAACACTGAATCATTATTTATAAAAATGCTTATCAAAAAAGAAGCTCCATTTTATTTTAGTGATGAGAATCCTCAAACATATTGTCCTGCCTACTCAAAAATTTGTAAGTATTAAAAAAAATTGTTCATCGTCAATATATTATTAATTATTAATTTACATATTTATAACAATAATTTAAAGACGAAACAAAAAATTCAAATTTTTTTAAAATACTTTTAACTTTTTTTTCAAATAAATATTTTTTGATTGAATATCAGACTTGGAAAATCTAAAATTATGTGAATTGTATAAAAAATATTCTGAATATCAATTCTATAAATAAAAAAAGTTAAAAATTATAAAATACAAATGAAACTGTTACAGACACGGAAGGTGATGAAATAATACAACCAACAAAAATAATTTCTAAACACGCCCGTAAGTTAAATGTTTTTTAAACTTTTATTAAATATATGTTGTGTTTTTTTAAAATGAGATTTCCTTATTTTTACTTATAAAAATAAAAATATAAAAAAATTTAAACAAAACAAATGATTTAACTTAAATTAAAAACAAAAATTGAACATTTATAAACTTTCTAGAAAAACAATTAAAATTTGTTAATTTTCGTTCTTTTGTTTTTGCAATAATCAGTAAATATTTTTAAATAAAATTGACTTATTGTGAACAATGAAGAAGTTTATATTATCTACTTACGTGACTTTTTAAAATTAAATTTATCAATAACTTTTTTCCTTTAAAATTAAAATTCCAAAGAAAATAAAAACAATTTTATAAAATAATTGCCAAATAATTGTATTGAACAGAAATCATTCCTATATATTATAAGTTTTTCTAAAAATAGGTCGCAACGACTTTGAATGCAATTTAATAAATTGAAACTAAATTTAGAAAAATGTTTATTTAGAAAATTTAGTATAATATAAAATTCAGTATCTATATCTAATTCCTTTTTTTATTTTTAAGGTAATTGTACATATGGTATATTATCAATGCCAATAGGAGCAAAACTGAAAAATTATAATTCTAGAAGAAATGAGTTCAGTTGTGCAGAATGCGAATGTATAATTCCACCATCTCTTACTTGTAAAGCACTGACAAGATTTGAATGTGAGAAATCATTTCAAAATTTTAAAAATAATTCAAAAAATTTGATACCTCAGAAACGACTAGACAAATGTGTTGTGATTAATAAGGATATTTGATAATTGTCGAAAATTGTAAAATTGTGTTATCTGACGGATGAACTTTGAAAACATATTTTATCCACTATTCTAATTTTGTCACTATTTTAATTATTTAATAATTAAATCCTTAAACAATAATAAATGAATTAATTCTAAGCAAGAGTTAAGAGTTTCACTTTTTAGAATTATTGTATGTTTTTTATTATACGAGACCTTCGCGCGATGATTATTGTTTTTTAATCATTGAATTATTTTGTATTAATAAAACAGTAGTATAATGATGTTTTATATGATATTTTATGTTTCAAGAGAAATAATAAAATTTTTTACATAATTCTTTTTACTTCGTTCCCTAGATATCATACAGTATCAATTCTTTTTAAAAATTATGTTGCAACGATTTTGTTTTTTTAAATATGTAGCAAAAAAAAAAAACGTAATTGATTTTTTTTTTTTGATTCAGTCTCTGATAAATAAGAAACTTTTTCCAGTTTATACGAAATTGATATTATTATTACATAAATTATTATGTATTTACAATATTTTTATTATTTGAAAATAATAATATAAAAATTTATTGACATCATTAACACTTGTCGAATTTACAAATTTCTTCGTATGGAATTCTCTTTAAAACACTGCCCGTTTTTAATTCAATGTCAACGCAAAAATCTTCAATTCTCACTTTTTTTATTGTAACAATTTCACCGATATGTTTTCCCTTAAGAATAATAACTTCTCGTCCAATTGCCGGTATCACTGTTTCAAGATGTTCCTGATCAATTTTTAAAATATGACCCTCAACATTTTCGGGTGAATTAATTTTAATTTTTCCCACGTAAAATGAATCGTCAACAATTTCCATTATAACACCTTTTGCTTTATAATATTTTTCGCCAATTTTTTTTGTCATAATTTTCACAATTAAACCATTGCGTAACCAGCCTTTATGCTTTTTTTCACTCTCAACATTACTTTTTCTTTTTGACGTTGAACATTTAACATTATCATCAATAATCGATTCAATTGAAGGACTTTTTTCTCTTTTCATTATTTTCGAAGAATTTGATTCATTGTCAATTTCACTGATTGGTTCATTTTCACTTGGTTCTTTTCGTTTTCCGAGAATTCCATGTTTTATTAATGTCGCGGGTAAAAGTTTTGGTTTCAATTTCATATTTAATACTAAAGGCTCGTCTTCGGTTCTTATTAATGGCGTTAATTCATCGTTTGTCTCTTCGGATATGTTCTGTCTACCTGTCACAACTTGTTTCTCAATAAATGCCATCATTCGCTCCTCTTCATTTCGATCCATTTTCTCCTTTTTTGCTTGTTTCTCCTGAGACGCTATTGCTTCTGGATCGCGATCGACGTATGTAATAAACCATCCTGTGAAAAAAAAAACATATGAGTTATAGGATAATTCCTTCAGAAATTGAAATTTAAAATTTAATACATTTTCCAGGTCAAATTTTAAAAAATTCCAATACAATTTTTAATTTAACTTTCACGTTATATATATATTAGTAATCTTAAAATTTTCAATGCAATAAGTTATTATTTAAGTAAAATAAAAAAATTATTGTTGAATTGAATTTTATTATTATATTCATCGTTTAAAATTTTATATACTTATTATAATCTATAAAATTATTAATTTAAAGAATATTTTTAATTTACTGTTTTATAAAATTTGTAGATAAATATTTATGCTGTTTTAATTTAAATAACTTTAATGAAAAATTATAGCTCAAATAATATATTAAAAAAAAAAAAAAATGTAGAAATTTAAAAAAAAATTTCAGAACTTTTCCATGATTTTCAGATTCTTAGGGTGTCTAACAACTGCTAAGAAAAAAATTTCCTGACTTTTCAATGACCTAAATTACACTAAAAAATTTTTATTTTGATCAAATAAAATTTATTTTGATACAATTAAATCATTTACCTGTTCTATTATCCACTAATTTCATATGTATTTGAAGCAAATAAATAATGTTTCGTAAAAAAATAAACGATGCTGAAGTACGCAACGTTTATGATCAACGATTAGAAATCAATTTTTATTTTTAACATGAAAAATTATAAAATTGTTTACCTCAAAAAATTATTTTTTATAATTTGTTGATTAATAAAAACTATAAGAAATATTTTTCAGGCAAAAAAATTATTTCTTTAAAAATCGTTCATCATAAACGTTGCGTACTTTAGCATCGTAAAAATAAAATATTTAAGTGAAATAAATAAACTTATTGGGGACGTATAAATATTCTCAACATTTAATTTAAAACAATTTTTATGGCGTCAAATCTTAAATTATCAAATATTTATTTAGTAAAATTATATAAAGCAGATTTTCTAGTACATCGAATTTCAAATTATTACAATTTGCGCACATCAATATTAAAACTATAATAATATACTCTATGTACTATACACTACCTCTGTATCTCTATAGGGCTATAAGCCCGTTGGTTCATTAAATAAATAAATAAATTTCAATTTAACGGAATTTATGTCAAGAAAAATTGCATAAAGAACAATTTTTTTAACAGAATTGTTATTTTAGTAAATTTCAATTTATCAAAATATTTACTTAATAGAATTGTCATTAAATACATCCACAATTAAGAGAATTTCTATTTAACAAAATTCTTAATTAAGAAAGTTTTTATTAAAGAAAATTTTAATTCCAATTAATTCTTATTTAACAACGAAGCTGAAGTACGCAACCTTTATGATAAACGATTTTTAAAGAAATAATTTTTTAAAATGAAAATTTTTATAAATTTTTGTCTAAAAAATATTTTTTTATAATTTGTTGATTAATAAAAACTTACAAAATTTTTTTTTGTGCAAAAAATTATAGAATTTTTCATTTTAAAAAATTAATTCTTTAAAAATCGTTTATCATAAACGTTGCGTACTTCAGCTTTGTATTTAACAGAATTCTCATTTAAGAAAAATTCTACTTAGTTCTTTTTTTTTGTCAATTTTTATAGACATAAATTTTGTTAAATTGAAATTATATTAATTTAAAAATTCAAAAAAAGTATTAGAAAAAATGCTTTATAAGAGTTCTGCTAAATAGAAATTCTTTTAAATTGGATTTTAGTTAAATGTAAATTGAAAATTTTGCATAATATAAAATCCACTTTATACAATTTTGCTAAATAGAAATTCGATAATTTAAGATTGGACGCCGTAAAAATTTTTATAAGTTAAATGTTGGTATTAGTATTAAATAATAAATTATTCGTATTAATGAATAATTTACTTTATTTGAAATTGAACCGATAAAATAAAATTGTATCAAATAATTTTTATTTATATATTAAAAAACCAAATATTTCACTGAAAAAAATTAACTAATTGTTATCCAAGTTTAAAAAATCATTTATTAGATTCAATAAATAGTAATAAATAATTATTTACTTAATGAATATAAGATATATCACATGCTTAATAATTGACTGTGAAAGCCAACTTTTTAATTTGCATTTGTTTTGGGGAAAAAGTAAAAAAATTTTGAAACCAATAGTTACTTTAATTTATTCATAAAAAATTCCAGAAAATTAAAGAAATTCCCTGACCATTAGACACCCTGGATTCTGTGGGAAGCCTGATATGGGTATTAGAATTTTTCTACTACTAATTATTTGTGATTATATAATTATAAAAAGGGAACCTTTTTCTGTTTCATCGACAACACATTTTCCAGAACGTCCAAGCCATTTGACAAATCCCGTTAATGTAAGCCACATTGTTGCATTCATATGCACATGACCCCTATCAGCAATGTATTCTTGATAAACACGATTAGCAGGCACTCGTTTTGTGCCAAATTGTCGTTTCAATAATTCTAAAAACGTTTGACTAAATTCTTTAGAAAATTGATTAATATATTTATTCGCATTATCGGCAAATAGAAGAAGTTGTCGATGATGTGATTCAGACATAGTATGACATTTAAAACCATTTTCATCGCGACATTGTTTTTGACACATTTCACAATACCATCGTAATTTTTGCAGTCCTTTTGCTTTTATTTTATTAGCAATATATTTCGGTGTTCCCACCTCGTGTTTTCCCATTGTTAAGCACTTTATTTATTTGTTTCTATATATATTAAATATAAATCGCCCTATACGACGCGTATTTACGTATTAACACATTTTTTGGAGGTTATATTTTGACATTTCTAACAAAATATCGTCTGCTCATTTTGTCGATAAGGTAGAAATTCATTTTTCCGGCATGCAAATTTTGAATTTTTCACAATAAAAAGTAAAGAAATCTAGAAATAACACAACTTCACTAATATTTGAATAAATGTAATAATAATAAGAAAAAATTGAAAAATTATAATTCTTCTTATAAATTTTTTATTGGATTTTATAATTTCTGAACTATAATTAACAACAATTTCCATAATATATTAAATACCCAATAAAAAATAATTAAAAACAGATGCGGTTATTCTGTTAAATGCAATTTTTTTGAAATTAAAATTTGGTAAAATAAAAAAATTCGGTTAAATAAAAATTAGAATAATTAAAAATACCTGTACTTTTCAAAAGAAAATTTGTTGAAATGAAAATTCTATTAAATACAAATTTGGCTAAATAAAAATTATTTAAAAGAAAATTTCTTCAAGTAACAAATTGAATTAAATGAAAATTGAGTCAAAAAGAAATTTTGTTAAATACAAATTTTATTAAATTGGAAATTCTATTAAATAAAACACTGAGTAAATGAAAAAAAAAATGAAAATTCGATTAAATACAGTTTTTGGTAATTAAAATTTCTTCAAAATGTTACTTGGTTTAATAAAAAATCGACAAAATCGAAAATCCAATAAATCCAAATTTGGTTAAATAAAAATTCAGTCAAGATGTTTTTTTCTAATAAAATATAAAAATTTAAATATTTAAACTTGAAAATATCAAATTTTTTGTTATGGAATTTGAGATTTAAACATATATAAATATTAAACATATAAAAAATTTATTTTATTTACATAGGATTAAATAGTGAATTATTAATATTAAATGATTTTCACTTTTAGTTTAATTTTTTCTTAATTTTTTCACACAATTCAGTAACATAGAAAATATCATTTTTTAAATCATCCTGATGATTCATCCACCTAATAACATTTTCTAAACTCGCAATAGCATCAACTGTTGAAATATTATTTTCCCTCAACTCAGATTTTGAATTGTCAACATCTTTAATTATTTCAGTGGGTAATGAATTTTTTTTCCCCTTCACTATTATTGCACAATCACTTTCTTTTTCATCGTCATCATCATATTCACTGGAATCATCATCCAACCAATTATTCGTATCATTTTCATTACAATCCTCATACCCGGGAATTCGTTTCAATAAATTTAATAATTCAGGCTTATCATGCGTATCGTGTGGATCGCATTCAATTTCCATTTGTTCCTCAAACATATCTTCAGTACAAACTTTTCGCCACGATTGAATGAGAATTGTCGATGAAACACTTTCCCATGCACTTTTTAAAATATGACAACTGTCCCTTAAATTCCATGTTTTTAAAAATTCATTAACACTCTCAATATCGGCTTTAATTCCACGTTGTAAAACTTCTTTGAGAAAATTTTGCCGATAAATGATTTTCAATTTTTCAATAATACCCTGATTCATTGGCAAAACATCGGACGTTAAATTCATTGGTAGTAAAACTAATTTTAATAAAATTCCACTTAACGTGAGATTTGTCTCGGATACATAACGACATGCCGCTGAATCGAGAAGTAAAACAATTGATCCTGATTTACCGTCTTGTTGTTGACGTTTTTTCACTGATGGAACAAATATTGTTTTTAGCCAATCGGTAAAAACTCCCATATCAATCCATGAACTTTCTTGTGCTTTATATTTTATTGGTAATTTGTCAGCTGTTTTTAAACTCCATGGAATTTTCGATCGTCCAATTATCATTAATGGAATTTTATGACTTCCCGTTGCGTTTGCACAAATGACTAATGTTACTTTAGGCGCATTTCTCTCATAGGTACTTTTTTTTGGAAATGTCTTCCACCAAAGAATATTTTCATCGGCACTATAAATATTGTCCAATGGATATTTATCATTTTTAAGTGCTTGTGAAAATTTTGTTTGAAATTCACATGCCGTGCCACTATTTATCGAACGTTTCTCATCTTGTCGATGTTGTTTTTTAATACCGCAACGTGTTTTAAAACTTTGTAACCAACCATTACTTGCTTTAAATGTCTTTGGACCATTTAATTTCACATTAAATTCAAGTGCTTTCTCTTGTAACATTTTACCAGAAATTAAATTGCCAAGATAATAATTTTGTTGATACCAAATTTCCATACAAGAATCAAGACCAATATCACCTTTTTTACCCTGTAAACGTTTTCGTTTTGACATTCCATTAATGTGCTCTTTCTCATGGCAAAATTTTTCCAATTCACCTTCCATTTTACGAATACGTCCAATTGTTGATCGTGGTATATTATATTCTTTAGAGAGATTTGTCAATGTTGCTCCATTTTTCATACGTTGCAATATCTCATACTTTAAACACAATGGAATCATATGATTTCTTTTATAAACAACTTTACATTGTTGAGCGAATGCTTGTGGTGTTTTTAGTAAATCATCATTGAAGGGTGTAAACGCAACTGTTTGTAAATTCATTTTGGTAAAATTACTGCAAAAAAAAAAAAAAAATAAAAAACCAATAAATTAATTTTTAATTTATAAGTTTTTCCAAATTTTTAATAATAAATAAATTCTTTTTCTATTTTATTTTAGTTAATTTTTTTTATTTACTTTCAATAAAATTTTTAAAATAAGTCCATTTCTATTTTGATTTTAATTTTTATGATTTTATCGAACTATAAAAAGAAAATAATAGTGACTTTACTTTACCTTTTAATTTTCGTCTCTTTTATATATTTCTTTGGTGTTGTTAATTATATCTAATTAATTATAAGCCTTGAGGATGTCGAACCAAGTCATTGAAACATCGTTATTAGACAATTTATTTTTTTTTCATATTTACCCCTCCTATACGAATTAAAAACTGTAAATAATATTTTCATAAAATTAAATTCTTACATAATTATATTCATCAGACTATTATTTGTGTATAGATAAATGAAATAGCAGTATATAAATATTAAATTAATAAATATTTTACTAAATTTCAATTATGAAGGAATTATTTATTTTCAACAATTTTTTCCTAATTCTTGACTTTTTTTTATTATAACCTAATATAACCAAAAAAAATGGTTGTGAAGTATAATTTATTTCAGTATTTTTTACAAATAAAATTAAATTTAATAAACGTGATAAAAATAAAGAAAAATTGAAAAAATTGAGATTTAAATTTAAATTTAACTTTTTATGTCACTTTCTCATATAAACAAATTTTTTTCTATACAAATTTTCGCTGTGTATATTTTGCACAATACTCACCAATATTTTTACTAGATCAAATTAAATGAATAATCCAAGTATTAATTATTTAGAAAGCAGTGAATTAATCACTGTAACTCTTTCTATTTCTTTAAAAGAAATTTATTATAAAATATTTTCATATATGCAAAATACTACAAAATACATAATCAAGAAGACTTGTACATAATATTTTTGACATGTCAAGCTCATTTGACTTGTTGACATTTGCGCATGCGCAAATGAAACAGGCTCAATGGTCTTTAAGGGCGCACTCACACCTCTGGCTGCCTGCACAGGCAGCCAGTGAGAGCCAATCAGAGAGTCAGTAGATTTAAATTTGAATTTTCTGTCTCTCTTACTCTTGTACGTTTTCTGCGTGGTGGGAGGCTGCCTGTGCAGGCAGCCAGAGGTGTGAGTGCGCCCTTATCCCACTTTTTTTTTAAATATAAAAATTATATATTTGCTATTTTCATTATATAATTAAGTTTCATTAGTTATTTGTAATGTATTCGCATTTTTTATTTTACAAAATGGTAATAGTTATTCGGTTAAAGTTATTGTTTTATTTCTAATTTATAATAATAAAGAGAAATTTATTTTTTATTATGTTGGAAAATTTATATTTTTAAATAAAGGCGGTAATGTAACGCATGTGCAGTTTGTGCAGCTATCACGTGTGTTTGTTGCAGTTTTTTCATAATCTTCCGAAAAATCGTGAATTTCTTTGAATATAATCTTTTTTACACATAAGAATGAATTTTTCCGTGTATTATTAATAAATTCACGAAATTAATTATTATGTTTTTATAAATTTAGTATTAAATTAAAGTGTATATTTATTTGTAAATAGATTTTATATATTAAGGTAAGGTTATGTTTATTTATCATTTTGTTTTTTAAAATTTTTCAACTATTTTTTCATACATTATTAATATTGATAATATTATTTACTCTTTATCTTGTAATATTTTTACATTCTCAATTTAAATTAGAAATTATTGGTTTTGTGTGATTTTTGCCTGTTTGTAGATAAAAAAAATTGACCAACAATAATTTGAATAAATTTTAATGAATCTATAAGAAAAAATTATTTGTTTTCTTCGATTTTTTCATAAACCCATTGTTGTGATATTTTTATATTTTATTGGAAAAAATTCTCAGCTTTTCAATGAAAATAAAGAAAAAGAAAAAAATTGCCGAATTGTGTAATAGAAAAATAGAATAATTATAATAATATTCTTGATAATAAAGAGTCTAATCTATTTTACTTATTTATATAAACTAGATGCATTTTCTACAGCAATTGAAAGTAACAACAATCGTATTACGTGCAATTCAGAAGCAGGAAATAAATATCATTATTCATAGAAGACAAGTTGATAATAATTTCATTTGTAATATAATAAATAGAACATTTACCAAATCAAATTTTATTCATGGAGAACATAATATTCCTTTGCCATTGCGAAATAAAAAGTCAAAATCATCGAGAAATATTGAAAACCACTTTGTTGATATCAAACAGGTATTTAATATTTAGAAAAAAAATATATATAAACTTTATTTTTATTAATTTATTTAGTTAACTAATACTTAATTATTAATTTATTTTAAATAGATTTTTAAAATTTTTAGTTTTTTTGATGAAATATATTTTTTGCTTGTTTAGGTGAAAGTCGAAGGCGGTTTTGGAGGCGATGGAATTATATCATTTTTACAATTATTCGGCAACGATAAAGCAGGACCGTCTGGTGGTGATGGAGGTAACGGTGGGCACGTTATTTTCGAAGTACGTCTAATTTCTTGGATAATTTTAAAAAGAAAATGGATTTTTAATTTTAATATTTTTTAAAAATAATTTTAGCGAAATATTTTATAGAGAATTTTTCTTATTTAAATTAATATCGAACGAAAAGAAAAAGTTAATTTATTTTAGGTATCGGCAGACGTAAAAGACCTCCGTCAAATAAAAAGTGTTAATAAAGCTCCAAGTGGACAACGAGGAATGGGAAAAGACTGTTTTGGCAAAAATGGAGAACATTTGGTGCTGAAAATACCAGTTGGTACTATAGTTCGAAATTTAGAGGGGAAAATAGTTGCCGATTTAGATACAGAAGGAATGAAATTCATTGCTGCGAGAGGCGGTGCCGGTGGTCATGGCAATCCATATTTTAAATCTCAATTAAATCAAACACCAATGATTTGCGAATGTGGTGCTGAAGGCGAGAAAAATCAATATTTATTGGAAATCAAAAGCATGGCTCATTTGGGATTGGTAAAAATTAAAAAAAGAAATATTTTATTTTTAGTGTAAAAATTATTATTTTAATTTTTGCAAATTTTTCAATGCTTTTTACGAAAATGGTACAAATTGGGATTTTTTTCTAGATAGGACTTCCAAATGCTGGAAAAAGTACATTACTAAGAGCAATATCAAGAGCACGACCAAAAGTTGCATCCTATCCGTTTACGACGTTGAGGCCATACGTTGGAATAATTCAGTATGACGATTATGAACAAGTTGCTGGTAAATAATTAAAATTTATTACACAAATTGCACATTATTTATCAAGAAACTTGGAAATCAAAAATTAAAAGAAATTTTAATTTTTTTTCTCCAAATAAAAAGAGAATTTGCAGAAAAAATGGAGAATTTTAGTCTAAATTGTAAATTTAAATTTTGGGAATTACAAAAAAATAGAATTTGAAGAAAAAAATTGTTATAAAAAAAGAAATTTTTTTTTTAAATCGATAATTTTAGGAATTCCCCCCAAGAAATATGAATTTATGGGAAAAAACGTAAATTTTTTACAGTTTATAGAAATAAATAAATATTAGGTAATTGTAAAAAAAAATTAGAATTTGAGTTGAAAAATCGCTTTAAACTAAAAAATATTCAAAAAATAGAAATTTAAAATAAAATCAATATGTGTGAATTAAAAATTTGTTTAATTACAAAAAAAATGTTCTATTTCAGTTGCAGATTTGCCGGGTTTAATTCCGGATTCACATAAAAATAAAGGTTTAGGTGTAACTTTTTTAAAACACGCCGAACGTTGTAAAGCATTATTATTTATTATTGACATGTCATTAAACGAGCCCTGGACACATTTAGATATTCTCAAGTACGAAATTAGTCAATTCAATCCACAATTAATTAATCGTCCTATGATTGTCATAGCAAATAAAATGGATTTATCGGCTGCAAAGGTATTATTTTTTCAATCACAATTTATTCGAATCTTACGTTATTGAAATTTATAATTGAAAATTTTATTCCTTTAGAAATTAGAATTTTTTTAAAATTTTACTATTTAAATTATATAATCTTATAGGTATTTTAAATTTATTTTGTTTTAGGAAAATTTGAAATTATTCAAGGAAAAAGTTAATCTATCTATAATGCCAATATCGGCAAAACATGGAACAAACATTACCTCGCTATTGAAAGATTTACGAATAATGTACGATGAACTAAGTAAAGAAGACACAGAAAAATTAAGTATGTAATAAAAGGTTTTTTATTTTAATAAAAGTACGAAAATTTATTTAACCCTCCCCCCTTTCAAAAAAAATCACAATTGCATAAAAATTTTCCAAAAAGAAAATCTAAATTATAAATGACATGAATTTAATTTTATTTATTTTATCTTCTCGCAAAAAGTGAAATTGCCAATAATTTCTTTAATTATCGGCTGCTCCAATAGTGTGTTAAACCATCGATTAACATTTTTATATTTTTTTCTTATTTGTAAATCAAAAACATGTTTATATAAAGGCATTAGTGCGGTGAAAATGGAAATATCAGCGAGTGTTATTCTTTCGCCAACAAAAAATGTTTTCATTACAAGTGTTTTATCTAATAAATCCATAATAATTAAAGAATCATCTTTTGCTATTTTCACAATTTCTTTAGATGCTTTTTTTAATCCCACTGTGGGTAAAATCCAACCAGTGATATATGGTAAAATATGATTATCAGCAAACATCATCCATTGTAAAATTTCACTTTGTGCAAAAATATTTTCACCCTTAAAATTATTATTCGCCAAATAAAAAGAAATTGCATTGCTATTGATTATTTTTACATTGCCATCAATTAATGAGATTGGCAATTTTTCGTCTCCTTCTTCGAAATTTCTCACTTGAAGAAATTTGTCACAATATTTTGCTGTTATTTGAGCGCAATAACCACGTACACTATCTGCATTTGTGAATAAAATTGGTCCCGGCATTTCACAAACTGTTTTAATAGCATGTGAAGATGATGGTAAATTTTCCAATGAAACTGGAATGGAAAGGGAAATATAAATTTCGTGTGATAAAAAAGTATTTGAAAAGGAATGAAAAAAAGGGGGATTTTTTTACCTAGTTACCTTCTATTTTGACACCAAGCTTCGAGGAAGCATATTCTTTTGCTACTTTTAATGCTTCATTCAATCCGGAAATATTTGAACCCGAAGCTTGAGCAGATTCCGGTTTTCCACCTCCTTTTCCATTCATAATTGACGTAATTGACTGTATCCATTCATTTGCCTTTAATCCTTTAGCAATAGCGCTCTGAAAAAATTAAATTTCTCTCGTTAATTCTAATTATTTCTATTACAATAAACGAAAATATTTTTATTTATAATTGTTAAAATTATAATTTATAATTATCCATTTTTGTTATAAATTTATTATCATAAATATTTTTGCAAATTAAATAAAAGTATTGTTAATTTAATGATAATAATAATGATTTGTTTCAGTTAAATAAAATATTGAATTTATTACTTTAGGAACAGCACTGAGGGCGAAAATTTTCTTCTTATCGGGATCGACACTCAAGAATAAAGCACTTGTTTCTGGTGATAAAGATTTCACTTTTTTCAAAGCCGCATCAAGAGCTTTTGTATTATCGTAAGCTTGCAAAATTTCCACTACAGCAGGAGTTCCAATGTTTAATTTTACAAGTTGTTCAACAATTTCAACAACCGAATTAGCAACCGCTGCTTTCATTGCACGCTCTTTATCATCCAATGATTTTTTTAATGACTTCAGCATATCTCGCATCTCATCCTGTTCAAAATTACAAATATAAATATAAATAAAAACCATGCTCTCAAAGAAGTTGCAATTATGCTTTAAAATAGTGTTATTTCTGCAAATTGCAAATATTTTTGTTACTTTTTAACACAAAATCTTAAAATTACAAAATATTTCTGAAATTTATGCTTCTATGCTCAAGCATAAAGTTTCTGTCTCTACAAATATTTTCATTCAAAAAAAAATGAGTAAAAAACTTTGATTTTCTCTAATAATATAAATATATAAAAAAAAGTTTATTTTTAAATGAATTGAAATAAAACTAAAAAAAATATGTAATTACCTTTCTCCAACAAGGAATTGTAGCATGAGAAATGTCTTCGGTTAATTCGACAATTTTTTTAACATATTCCTTCGAATCAAATGTATTTGTATTATTTTTCACATCTGCTTGAAGTTTTTCGAGACTTTTTTGTAATACATCAGCTTTGGTCAAAGCCTTCGCAGCTTCTGGACCAGTGAGCGCGACAATTCTTCTTATTCCTTTTGCAATTGCATCTTCGCTTGCAATTATAAAATCACCGACATGTCCCGAATAATGCAAATGACTATATAGAACGAAAAAACATTTTTTCGTCAATAAAATTTATATCCATCAAATTAAAGTTTTCTTTTATCGAATTATTGAAAAATTAGAATAGAAATTAAATGAAAATTTTGTTTAAAAAAAACTTACGTTCCTCCACAAAATTCAACACTAGTTTTAGTTCCAGCGGGATTTAAAGGATCTTTCTCTAAATTTTCAACGTCAATTCCAACACTGACAATTCTCACAGGATCGGGATATGTTTCCTCAAACATTGCACGTATCCCTTGTATTGTTTTTGCCAATGACAATTTACTCTCCTTGGTAAATATTTTTTTATTTTCATCAATTATTTCATTTGTAATTACCTCCGTTTTCTTTAGCTGCTGCGATGTCATTCCACCTAATGAAAAAAAAAAAATAAATTTGTATTTTAAATTTATATGGAAATTTTGAAGAAAAATAAAAACCTTTATTGGTGAAATCAAATCGTAATCGATCAGGAGCAACAAGTGATCCTTTTTGATCAGCATCGGTGCCTAAAACACTTCGTAGTGCATGATTTAAAATATGAGTTGCTGTATGATTACTCATTATTAATCTTCTTCTTGCAGTGTCAATATTTGAAAGAACTTTGTCGCCTTCTTTTAATATTCCCTGACCAACAGTGCCAATGTGTAAAACATATCCGCCTCTAACTTGCACATTTTTTACACGAACTTCTGTGCCCTGAATTTACAAATTCAATTAATCATTAAATAATTATTATTCAGGATTGTCACAAAAAAAATTCATAGAATATTCATTTGGAAATTAGAAATTTAGTAAGATAATTGAATGAATTTGAATTTAATTTAATTTTAATTTGTTACTTTTTTATATTAATTTAATTTATTTCAGTTTAAAAAAAACTAATTAATTTTAATTTAAGAATTAAATAATAATAAATTATTATTAAATTAGCTAATGTTAAATATTACCTCATCGCCAACTTTGACTAAAAATCCTTCGTCATAAATTTGACCACCTTGTTCTGCGTAAAAACTAGTTTGATCCAATAAAATACCAACTTCTTCACCTGACGTAACATCCTTGACAAATTGTTTACCACGTCTCAAAGCAATAACAGTGCTTGTACACGATGAAAATACATATTCCGCCTTCTTGTCCGACGATTTTACTGAATAATTATATTTCGGCATATCATTTGTCGGTTTAATTCCTTTATTTTGTAATTCCGTAATTGAATGAACATCCAAATTCACTCCATCATCAATTTCGCCAGTTTTTCCCTGCGATGCTATCTGCAAGAAAAAATACATTACATATTATTTTTTTTCCCCTTTTCTATTTATTTTAATTTAAAATTAATTTTTTCACCTGCGCCAATTTTTTTGCTTCCTCGTAGCCTTGCATATCAACTTGAAGACCTTTTTCCTCGGCCATCAATTGCGTTAAATCGACGGGAAAGCCATATGTGTCATATAATCGCCATGCAACTTCGCCGGGAACAATTTTACATGATTCCAATTTTCCAATTGTTCGATTCAAAAGATTTCGTCCTCTCGATAAAGTCTTTAAAAATTGTGCCTCCTCTTCATTGATAATCGAAATAATTGAATCGGGATCTTTCTTCACTTCCGGAAAGACATCGCCTATAATTTTTTTTAAGAGGATCAGAAAGGAAAGTTGGCAAAAAGTAAATTTTCTGTAAATCATTCAAATAGAATTAATTTTACAATCACTTACCAAGAATGCTTACGACAACATTCACCAAAGAGGCAAAGAATCCAGGTTTTGCATTTAACTTCTCAGTGGCGTAACGAACACCACGTCTTAAAATTCTTCTGAGGACGTATCTAAAAAATTATTTAACAAGTTAATAAATCTAATTTAGTAAAATAACTCGAAGTAATTTTTTAATTTCTAATTTTAGTAAACTAAGATTTTTTTTGTAAATACCCTCGGCCTGTATTGTCAGGAACTCCTCCATCGGCGAGAGCAATAGTCAAAGTTCGTGCATGATCCGCTAAAACGCGATAAGCCATGTCAATTCCGTCTTTGTCCTCGTTGCCAACTTTTCCTTGATAAGTAGGAGCGCCCGTTCCTTTTTCAATCGCTTCAAAAATTGGCATAAATAAATCAGTGTCATAATTTGAGCGCTTATTTTGTATCACCGATACCAAACGTTCCAAACCTAAACCACAATCAATGTGTTTCTTCGGCAATGATCGAAGATCACCGCTCGATTCTCTGCAGAAAATTATTATCAATATATTAAAGATGTAAAAAAAATTACTCAAAAAAAAAAGTATTTAGATTTAAAAGTAACAAAAAAAAGAAATTTAAATAAAAATTAGAAAAATTCATACAAAAATTTAAAAAAATTAATAATTAAAATTTACAATACCTATTGAATTGAATAAAAACAAGATTCCAAATCTCAAGAACATCGGGATCATCCATATTGACAAGATGAGGAACATCTCTGCCGCCAATTCTATCGAAATGCAATTCACTGCATGGACCACAAGGACCAGTTTCACCCATTTCCCAAAAATTGTCTTTCATTGAACCAGGAATAACGTGAGTCGGAGGTACACTGTAAAAAAATGATATTGTATTGAAAAAAATTTACAAATATAAAAATTTCACATCGATTTTGTTAAGAGAAAAATTCATGAATAATTACCCAAGAGAAAGCCAAATTTGTTTGCATTCATCATCCGGTGGTAATCCACTTTTCTCATCACCACCAAAATAAGTCACATAAAGTTGTTCAGCCGGAAGTTTTAAAATTCCAGTCAAAAATTCCCAAGCCCATGTACAAATTTCTTTCTATAAATTGAAAAAAATAAATTCTTCCCTTTTGCATATAGAGTAAATTAAAAATAATTTTTGTTAATAAATTAAATTTTGTATTTTTAATCACATAAAAATTAAAATGGAAATTAATTTTCAAGTATTTAACAGTTTTCTTAAATTTCAATTTAAGTGTCCATAATTTTTTTTTTAAATAAATTAAATTATTCTAAAAATTTCTAATTCAAAATATTTTATTGTACTTTACAGTGTGAAATATTATAATCAGTTTCCAAAAAAAAGGATTTTTAATTTCTTTTCGCATAAAATGAAAATGTAATAAATTTTGAACCTTAAAATAGTCACCAAACGACCAATTTCCCAACATTTCGAAAAAGGTGTGATGATAAACGTCTTTTCCAACATCATCCAAATCATTGTGTTTTCCACCAGCTCTTATACATTTTTGAGTATTTACGACTCGAATCCATTTCGACATGTCGCTATTGGGATCCACAGTGCCCAAAAAAATTGGCTTAAACTGATAAATGTGAAAATTTTTTATTAAAAAAAAAGTAATTTCAAATTTAGATAAAGCAAATCTTCTATTTTTTCTAATTCTCTTCCAAAATACAAGTTTCTTAATTTTATTAAATATTTTTTGCTCTTTTTTCGTGAAAAAAAGTTATAAAAAATAAAACGTAATAACTATATTTGAATTGGATCGATAAAATAAATTCGAAATTTTAATTTCCCAAAAATTCGTTTCAATATTCCCAATATTTTTTTTTGCCATAAATTATTTTCTAATTTGGTATAATCAAATTAAAGTATAAAACAATAAGTAAAATTACAAAGCGAAAAATATATCAAAAAAGTTATGAATAATTTCAAATCTGAAAAATGTTTAAGGTTTTTTTTGTATCGATCCAAAAAAAATCTTTAAAATTGTTCACATTGATTTCTACAATAATTTGAAAAAATTGAAGATCTTTTAATAATTTTAAATGTTCATAAAACTAATTTTATATGAGCCAAAAGTTCTGAACGTTCAAATGAACAAAAATTTTTTTCAATCTATAAATGATTAAAAATTATAATGTCAATGTAAAATAAAATAGTAAATTAAACAAATATTAAATTAACAACTTCTTTTTAGATATTTAAAACAATATTTTTTAATAAAATTCGTACTTAAAGAAATTACAAAAAAAAAAAGTTTTGTTTATTTGAACGTTCAAAACTTTTGGCTCATATTTTATTTTAAATTTATCACTCGACGATATTTTAATAATGAAAAATAATAATAATAGAAATAATAAAAAATATATAAAATAAAATAAAAATAATAATATCCATCAGTCCGAGTCAGGTTTATAAAAACTTTTTTAAAAAAATTCATTTTTAAAAATAATAATAATTTTTAATTAAAAAATACTTAAAATAAAAATATTTAAGCCTTTTTTCCATGTGTAAGAAAAATGTATAAATTTTTACCTGATTCATTCCAGCGTTGGCAAACAATAAAGTAGGATCATCGTGAGGAATAGTCGAACTGGAATGCACATAAGTGTGTTCCAATTGTTTTTTGAAATAATCAATGTAAATTTGGCGAATTTCCTTCGCGCTCATTATTCCCACCATTTTTGCAATTTTTCCTCTTCTCAATTATTGAGACTATAAAAAAAGATAAATTTTTATTTAATATTTATTTTTATTACACTATATAGCTAAATTTATTTATTTAAATAACATTTCGGTTTATAAATAAAAAAAATCCTTTCGTACAAGTTGTAATTACTTGAATTAAATATAAACTTATAATTAAATATATCTGACAATAATTTAAAAAATTAACCATATGGTTGAAATAACAAAAAATCAGGATCATTGATTAGAATAATTGTTTAAATTGGTTTTATCAATGAAAAAAATATATTTTCTAAAACAAAAATTGCTATTTAAAACAAAAATTTATTTATTATGTACAAATATTTATTAAAATCTTAAATCAGATTTAGAAAAATAATTTTTCTTTTTTTTTCTTGAAAGGACAATCGTGTGTATGCAAGTGAAAGTTGATATTGCATCAAATTTATATCAGTTAACCTCAAAAGGTAACAAATGTATAACAATTATCACATTGTTAACTTCTAAGGGATGAAATTTCATTATTTAGATGATCACTATTTAAGTATAAATAATAATAATGGTATATATTTTTAAAATACTTACTTTTAGAAACATATGCCGGTCGAATGAAAACCTGAATTCCACTGGCCGAAGTGCCCGAAGTTCTGAGATTTTTTTTTCAAAAAAAAAAAACATATGTTGAAAAGTATTTAAAAAATTTAACATCAATAATGCGCGTGTGTGACGAACATTGCACTCATTGGCTTCTTATTCCCGCGCTAATTTGAAAATATGTCAATACTATTTGTTAACTATATATATATAGTCGTCGGTAAAATAAATATCTGCGTTCAATTACCACATATTTGGCACATTGTCATACGGTTTTGGAAATACTTCTCATTGTGTTTTTTTTGGTTTTTTTTATGTAAAAAAATATACTTTTAAATAAACATTACAAGAGGGTATTGAAAACTGATTTTTATTAAAATATTAATAATTAATGTTAATGCCCCGTGACGATTTAGTATTTTTTATTTTTTTTCTATAAAACCGCAATTATCTGCGGCCAGTGTTTCATTGAAAATATCTTTCGTAAGAAAGAAAAGAAAATTTCAAAATGCCTTTTATGAAAGGTATCGAGCCTATTAGAAGAACAATTAAATATTTAAATGCAGGTAGATTAGTGTTAAAAGATGAAATACATATATTGTCCATTAATTACAATACTTTTGGTGATCATCACAGTGGAATGAGGTAAGTTTTTAGGTTATTTTTTAACACGCCTGTATATATATAATAAATAATCAGAAATATTGTTTTCTAATACTTGATTTTTCATTACAGACAGTTTGTATTTTGGCATTTAGCTCAATTGCAATATAAAAATCCTGATGTTCAAATTATTACTTTTAAAAATATGACACCATCACCTTTCGTAAGATGTTTCTACGGTAAGTAATTTTTATAGTCTAAATTTTTTATCTATATCATTTTTTGTCATTTACCATTAAAATTTTACTATTTTGGAGAACCGTCTTGTTTTTAAAATAGAAATGTCACATAATTAAAAATTATATTTTGTAAATATTATTAAAAAAAAACGAAAAAAAAGATTCTATTGTGATTCTGCAAACGAACAATTATTATTTAATATAAATTATAATATAATATAATTAGAAATATTTAAAAGTAATATAAAAAAATCGCACAAATTAAAAACTTTTTCAGTATGATAAAAATTAAAAAACATGAATAAATTTTTAAATTTTCTTTTTTTTTAATATAAAAACCAATAGGATTTTTAATAAACTGCACTTATCTCAACGATTTAATATCCTTAATTAAGTTAATTAAATATTCGTGATTCTTGTCAAAGAAATAATATTGTAAAAAATTTTAAATTTCAATTAATTTATGGTTATTGACGAAGTAAATTAATTAATTTATTGAGTATGGAAAAGTATTATATTAAGTCCTGGAAAAAGAGCGATTTTGGTAACGGAATTATTATTATTATTATTGCAGATAATGGAAAGAGAATGTTAATTGACGTCGACAGTAAAGGAAAAGATGATATTATGGAACATTTAATAAAAGTCATAGGAAAATCTCAGAATACGTTAGTGAAAGAGGCGACACTTCGCGAAAAGAAAGATAATCCGGCAAACTTTGGTTATGGATGTGAGAGAAGTTGTATGTGTATCATTCCCGGTCAACTTCCTTGTCCTCAAGTTGTTCCACTTCCAAATCATATGCGTGGCAAATTTATTCGTAATCCTGATGCTTAATTTTCATTAAATATAGGTTTGTAAATAATGTATTTGTTAATTTTTCCAATACACTTTTTATCCTTGTATAATTATATAACATACATCGATAATTCTTGTTTTTTAATTAATTAAAAAAAACCTCATTTTCAAAATTCATATAAAGTTTGCAAGTGTTATTTTTTAATCTTTTAAAAAATTGTTACATATATCAAAAATTACTTAAATTCTTTAAAATAATTTGAAAAAAATGGTTATAATTTTTTATTTTAATTGAGAATTGTGTTTTTTTTTTTAATAATAAAGAAAAAAAACTTTTTAAAAAAGAAGCGATGCACAATACAGGAGCATTTGCATTTATTTTAAAAAAAATATTGAGTACAATTATTGTATTTTTATATAACAAAAATACAGGGAAAAAAAAATTATCACACGTTATAAGTCATTAAATTGTATACACAAAAAACTGAGGAATACTCGCATTTTTATCGATGCTGACAATAGCATTTGCACCTAAGTATGTAGGAATCATTTTTCTGCTTATTTTGCAAAAATCTAAAGCATTACATTCATTTTCTTTTTTTTTACATATAAATATATAAATTAGTGGCGGACGTAGAATCTCTGACTTATTTTTTTATTTCGAGTATCTTTCATTTTTTAAAATATATATATATTTATCATAAGGGACATTTTTATGTACATCTAGAATCAAATTTCTAGAAAGAAAATATTATTTATTTTTTAATAAAATAAATAAGTAAATTTATTTATTTTATTTAGAATACTAATAAGGGAAATATAATTACAATAGTTTATTTTTAATTGTAATTATAAAATTTTAATCGAGGGCTTTTAATAAATAATAATAATAATAATATTTAAGTAGAGAATCAAAATGAGATTATGATTGGTCAATGTAGTCGCAATTAATTTACTATATATATTATTTTTTGTGGCTAATGTCACAAATAAATATTGAAAAAGTGAGAATTATCTTTTCGGTTTTGCTCGATTATAAGGTTTTCTATTTTGGTAATTGCTCCCATGATTGTGACGATATCGCGTCGATGTGGACGGTTTTTGGTTATCGGATTTCACATATTGTTGAATCATTGGCGTTCCCACGAGCGGTTTATTGAGTTCAAATTCCTCTGGAGATTCTCGCATCATTTTCAATTTTGCCTCAATCGCCTGAATGGCAGTTTCACGACTTGAAAAAAAAATTAATATATAATAATTAAAACACAAAAATGATTTCAATGAAAATTTACTTGAAGTATTTTTTTTTTTTAAAGTAAAAAAAAAGTTAAATAGCTTTTTCCATAAATTTTCTATACAAAATTTTATACTTTATATATTAATTAAATTTGTTTTGAAATAAAAATACCTTATTTTATTGTCTTCCTTTTTCGCTCCAGCCAAAGCTGGAATATCAATCTTTGGTTTAGGTTTCTCCATGTCGCTCTAAGAAGAAAAAATTTAAAAATAATTACATTGAAAAAAAATGAAATATTTAAAATAAAATTCTTAAATTAAAATAGTTCTCAATTTTTTCAAAAAAATCTAACTGAAAAAAATGCTTATCAATTTTAAATAGAAATGTTAATTTAAAAAAAATTTAAATAATATTGAAAAAATCGTACGTTCTGGTAAAAAAATTTAATAATTATTTTGTTTTCTTTTTGAGAGTGAAATTTAACTTACCTCGCTGACGCTATGTGCCCATCGTACGACAATATTTTTCGAGCCAATTCGAAGATTGTGCAATTTTTCCATTGCACATTCAGCATCTTTCACCAATTTATACGTGACGAAGGCGTAACCTCGTGGTTGTCCAGCTTGAGGACCCGATCGATGAAATAGTAGGTCAAACTTTTCAATTGTTCCATGTTTTTGAAGGAGTTTTAGGAGTTGGTACCGGTTGACAAATTAAAAAATAATTAATAAACGCTGAATTGAATAAACTTTAATTTACACACTTAATTTAACAAATTATTAATTAAACCAACCAATATAAAACTATTTATATTTTTATCAAAGAAAATAACATTTTTTAATTAAAAATTAAAACTGTCCAAAAATTCATGTTTTTGAAAATTGTTAATTAAAAAAAAATTTAAATTATCAAAAAATAAATGTTTTAATTTTTGAAATATCAATAACTTTGTAATAATTTATAGTAAAATTTCTCAAATAAATTAATCGATACATTTTTAAATATTCTATAAACTGGTTATAATAATTGAATGGTGAATTTCGAATAGGGCTCAACTCTAAAAAGGCTAAGAGTCATTTTCACTATCAATTGTTATGCGAAAATGACACTTACGCTTTTTCGAGTTGAGCCCTTTTCGAAATTCACGATTAAATTCTAACATAAAGATTTTTTAATAAATACTTTAAAAAGTGATGTTTTAAATAATTTTGAATAAAATTTCAATAGAGTATTTGCCAATAGATTAAAAAATGATTTTTAAAATTTATACAAAATTGAATGTAATATTGAAGACTTTTTGATTTAAATTACTGTAGCCCTGTTAATCAATAATTAATTTAGAATATAGTAGAATTTAAAAAACTTTTAAATAATTGATTTTCTTTCAAAAATCGGCTTTAAATTAAAATTACTTAAAATTTTATTTTATTTCTATCTTAAAGCGTCAATAATATAGAAATTTATAAGTAAAAAAGCAAATATAAAAAGTTTATTCAATACTTACTCATTAATTCTTAAATCCAAATTTCCAACCCACAGTCTTCTGTCCTCTATTTGATTAGTCTTGATGGGCTCTAATGGAAGGGGAATTTTTGGATTCATCTGCAACGAGATTATTTTCATTCAGAAAAATTGTCAATAATAAATAAAAATAGCGTTCGAGGTACTTAAAAGAGAAAACCTATTTATATAAATCTAATTCTAACCTCAAAGAAAAAATAACTTCTATATGCGAAACTTACCTCCATTATTGGCGAATTGAGAGGGAGATTATTATTATATTAATAGTAAGGAAGCCTTTTCCGTGTACGTATTGATTACCATGCAGGGATTCCTAGAATTGTTTCAATTATTTATGAAGAAACCTTAGAAAACATTTCTTCTTTTCGTTTTCTCTCATCATGTCAACTGTGAAAAAATTCTTCTCCCTTCAACATTATGAACTCACACATTTGTATATATCATAAAAAATCACGAGAAAGGAACTTTTTTTTTATCTTAGTTATCATACATTGAACACGATAATTTATAATTAGTCAGGATATTTTTAAATACTCTACTCTGTTTCATCGCGTCAAACATTGAGTTCGACACCATTTTTAAAAACCACATGCTTCTTCCTGTTCTGTTCACTGATTGGATTAATTCTCAAGCTCCAACGGAAATAAAAAACAAAAAAAGGAAATATGATAAAATTTATATATCAACCTTCTCGTTATTATAATTTTTAATTATTATTAATTAAAATAAAATAATTTTATTATTTAATATTTTTAAACTTTATCGTTTAAATTTTCCGCCTCAAAAAATAATCGCGCATGTGCGAAGGTGTAATTACAAAATGGCGACATTCGTTCATTATTAAACTGTCAAATAAAATTTTTTTTTTAAAAAAAGAAAAGTCAAACATTGCAAACATTTTTAAATAATATTTTTGAACATTTAAAGTGAAAATTAGTGAATTTATGATGGAACGCGTTATGATAACCGGTCAATCATCGCAAACAGAAACAATTTGTGAAAGAGATATTCCAGACGCCCCGCAGGTAAGCCCGGTTTTTATAATTTAGATAATTTGTATAAAATTACTCTTCGGACTCTAGATAAGGGGAATGTTGATCATAAAAGCTTTTTAATCTATTTGTAAATTTATCATAAAACGTCAACAGTCGGTATTGTTAATTTAAAAGTTTTTCTTGCTCCAAATAATTACGTGAATTTCCATTTATTGTGTGACGTCAAAAATTATTGAATAATAGCAATAAAAGTGAATAATTTACAAATTTTTGTATGCTGTAAAAGTTCCTTGTCATATCAGAAAAACAAGATTACATCATTGTATTTTTAATAATTAATAGTTGTAAAAGAAAATTTTTTTCCTCAAGTGATTCGGAAAGTGATAAAAAATAAAAATACGACATATATAATACAGAAATATAAATAAATGGATAAATAATAGAAATAATTAATAAATATAAAATAAACAAAATAAGAAATTAATATAAATTTATTAAAATAAACAATGGCGAAAGTAATAATTTCACGTGATAAATGTTTATTACGATCTCTGTATCAAATACCAAGAGGAAAATATTATTCAACAAATGTCAACGATGTTAGATCTCCATTATCTGGAATTAGGGTCATGGATTTGACAAGAGTTGTTGCGGGACCCTATTGTACAATGCTCTTAGGTGATTTGGGTGCAGAAATATTAAAAATTGAAGAGCCAGGTATTGGTGATCAAACACGACAATGGGGACCATTTTTTGGTAATTCAAAAAAAGCCACAGCCTATTTTGTCAGTTTAAATCGTAACAAAAAAAGTATTTGCATTGATTTAAAACGAGGCAAAGAAATTATTTATGATTTAGCAAAAAAATCTGACGTACTTATGGAAAATTATGTACCTGGGAAATTATCCAAATATGGATTAAGTTATGAAGAAATTCATAAAATTGCTCCACATTTAGTTTATTGTTCATTAACTGGTTATGGGTACAAAGGTCCTTATAGAAACAGGTATATAAAAAAATCTATTTTCTTATTAAAAAATTAACAAGCCTCGGATTGTACGACTTTTTTTTAATTTTTAAATAAAATATGATTTTTTTTAATAAACAATGCAGCACTTCCAAAATTTAATTGTCAATCATTTTAAAAAAATTTTTCAAAAACTCTCAATTACCTGAAAATATTTTTCAAAATATTTTTAAAAATTTAATTTTAATTTATTTTTTTTTTAATATAATTTTAATTTTATTATTGTAATTTTTAATATTATAATATTTTTTAATAATTTTTAATTATTCGAAATTTCTAAAAAAAAAAAATAATTTCAGCAAATAAAATTACCAAAAATTTCAATTTAAAATGACATGAAATTTAATTTATTCCAAAAATTTAACTTAATAATTAATTTCATAATTTATAATAATTTCCATGTTCTTCATAAAATCAAATATTTAAAACATTTTTTTAATTAAAAATTCTATAAAATTCAATTATTCACAGAATTTAAGAAAAAAAAAATCTTCATCAATTAAAATTTTCAAAATTTTTAATTTGAAATCTTTTGAAATTCAATTACTTTTAAAAATTTCAATTTAAAAACCAAAAAATTTTAATATAAAATTTTCTGAAATTCAATTATTTAAAAAATTCTTTAAAACTTAATTGTGTTCGGAAATTTTTTTTGTTCATTAAAATTAAAAACTATGCCAAAATTTTTAATTAAAATAATTTTCTTAAATCAGATTTTAACAATTTTTAAAAATGGAACATAAATTAAAAATTCTGTCCTACTAAATTAAAATCTTGAAAATTTATCTTTAATTCAATTCTGAAATATTCGAAATAAATTTTCGTGATAATATTTCTATAGAAATAGTTTTATTAAGGAATTAATAAAATTAATTTAATATCCTAATAACAATAGTTATTTGAAATAAAATATTTATTAACTAATTAAATTTATTAAAAATAAAAAATCGAAATGCACCTTAAACTCGATTCGAGGCATGAATTAATAATAATAATAATAATTGATGAATTAAAAATGAAATTAACAGACCGGGTTACGATGTAATAGCAGCATCTTACGGAGGACTTTTGGATATGACTGGACCAGAAAATGGTCCTCCATGTCGTCCAGGCGTTGCATTGACTGATATTTCGACAGGTTTATATGCTCACGGTGCAATAATGGCAGCACTAATTCAAAGAACAAAAACAAATGAGGGCCAATGGATTCAATGTGATTTATTGTCAACGCAAATAGCCAATTTAATAAATATTGGCTCAGCATATTTAAATGGAAATCAGGAGTCAAGAAAATGGGGTTCAGCATTAGACAGTATTGTTCCCTATGAGGCATTTAAAACAAAAAATGGATGGTTCACCGTTGGAACTGGTAGCGATGGACAATATCGAGATTTAATTAATCGAATGAATCTCCAACAATTGAATGATAAATATGAAACAAATGCAATACGTGTGAAAAAACGCGATGAATTAGTGGCAATATTGAAAAGTGTTTTTCTCAAAAAAACCAATGATGAATGGTCTGAAATTTTTGAAGGTGCTTCCTTTCCTTATGCGCCTGTTAATAATATGAAAAATGTACGTGAATTTCAATAATTTACATTATAAATGTTTTTTTAAAAATATTTTTATATATCTAATTATATTCAATATTAGTAGAGGTTTTTCATAATTTTGCTTATTTATAATTTATACATTTTTCATCTTTTTTTTTAAATAAATTTAATTTGTTAATAGAAACAGGTGAAAAATATTTGTAAATTGTAAAAAAAAACAATTTTGAAAAATTTAAAACTCTATAAATTTGATTTTATATTTGAAAAAAAAATTTACTGTTTTTTGTATGAATATTGATTTGTTTTGAAATTTAGACGTTCAACGATAAACACATTAAGGAAATAGGAATAGTGAAGGAAGTGGAAATTCCTGAGGAAGGAACAGTGAAAATAGTTGGACCAGCCGTCACTTATAGTGACAGCAAAAATGAAATTCGCTCACCGCCACCGAAATTAGGACAAAATACTATAGAAGTTATGAGAGATATTTTACAATATCCAGAGGATTCTATCAAGAATTTATTAAAAAACGGCGTTATACAATAGAGATTTTTTTATTATTGTTTTAATCTTTTATTTTTAACTTCTTGAAAGTTGAAAATATTTTTAAAATTGAATTTTTTTTAAACTTAAAAAAATGTATAATTAATTTTTTCTTTTTTAAATATTTTTAAATATTAAGACTTTTTACAAATAAATATATTTTATGTATTTATGGAAATAAATAAGAAAATTTTATACCAAGAAAATAAATTTGTTTTTTTTTCTTTTTTTTCTATATGGGTCATTCTCTAGGAAAAGACTTTATATTTTTCATAAAAAATAAAAGTTATCCGATAGCTAGTAATACTGATATAAAATTCGTGATTATAAAACCCAAAAACATTTTTCAAACGTATCCATATAGTTTTAAAAAACCAGTCCGCTATTTTAAATTTAATTTCGAATTTATTTTTTTGTTTTGACTTATTTTGTAAATTTAAAATATTTTTCTTTCAAATTTAATAAAATTTGTGATTATTTGACATTGTTTTCAGGAAGTTCCAACTGTTCATCTACGACTTCGAAAACCTCGATCGAGTAAAAAAGTTCAATGGACTCAAGGAACAGTTGATAATGAGGGTCTTAATAAAAAGAAATCTAAATGTAAGACAAACAAATTTTGAATATCTATTTAGTTGATAGTATAAATTAGCAATTTAAAAAGAATCATTCTTTTTTTTCTTTAATTTTAAAGATAAAATAAAAAAAAATTCCCATTGTTTTTTATTTTTTTTTTGTATTTAACAAAAATAAAAAAATTATTATTTTTGACACGTTTTTCAGGTTGTTGTATTTATGAAAAGCCAAAAGCTTTTGGAGAAAGTAGTTCGGATGACAGTGACGATGAATGTGAACATTGTCATGGACATAAAGACAATCATAAAAATGATTTACCAATTAATAAACCCGAAAATCCATCGGCAGAAATTCCTCATTCTGGTAAGAGAAATCTCCTATTTTATAAAAATTAAGAGATTATTATTTTTTGTAATAATAATTATTATTTCGATATAATTTATTTGGAGTAGGATATTTTTTCAATTTTTTTTTTGTACAAATAATAAAGAAAATTATTTTTATTAATTTTTTCAAATTCAAGAAATTAGAAATTAATTTTTTAAATAAAAAATTATTTCTTTTAGTTCAATTGTTCTAAATGCATTTATTTTACAATTTTTGAAATTTTGAAATTCAAGTTTTAAATTAGAATAAATTATTTGCTCGTCTATTTTAATAGACTATTAAATAATAATTATTTTTATTTTTGAGTTCTTTCTGGTTCTATTTTAAGAATTTTTTTTTTAAATTAAAATTACAGAACCGATAGCAACTGGTTCGTCATAATTAATATTTGTATTCCTACGTGACCTGTCCACACATCTTCTCTTTAATGTACAGACATGAGAACGACGACAGATGCAAACGACTGTGATTTCGTTTAATACATCTATATTTATTCCAATTTTAGGGAGAAAAAAAATCTTTTTAAAAAAGAATTTACAAAAAAAATTGGTAACTTATTCTTGATTTTTTTTATTTTACTTCTATCAATCTTATTTCAATTATAATAATAAAAATAATTTTGTCACGTCGTTCAGAACAAAACATAAAAAATGATCTTTAAAGTAAAATTTATAAAAAATTTTTATTCAATAAATTTTTTTTTTTTTAATTCAAAACATTCCTTTTTTTTCTTAATTTTTTTTTCTCAATTACAATTTTTCAGTATTTAAAAATATTCCTTCTTTGCGAAAATCTCAAAATTAAATTTTGAGACAAGAGAATATTGTAATATTAAAAATGTCGAAATAAACTTTAAAAGTACATTTTTTCTTAAAGAAAAAAATAAACAAGTTCTATAGAAGCATTTAACGTTTTACAATAAATTATATAATTAAAAAAAGATAGAAAAAAATGGTATTCAATTTACAAAAAGGCTCGTCATGAAATGTTTCACAAAAATAATGTTATTAATTAATTGTAATCAAATTTTTTCAACATAATATTATTATAAACTATATATAAATTTAAAAACAGTTCCTTTCTGAATAAATTTATGTAAAACTTGATGTTAAATAGTTAATTGAATTATTTAAAAATTCTGTTTTATTATATATAAAATTGTAAATTGAAAAAATTCTGCTCATTTTTAGAAAATGCTTTGCAAAACAAATAAGCGAAAATAAATCTAATATTTAATGTAGAAAAAAAGTAGTAAGAATCCTTTTTAAAAGGATAAAAAACATAAGTTTGGTAATAAATATTATAATTATGAAAATGCTTTGCTTTGTGCTTGAGACATATATTTTTATACAAGTTATACATTTTGATAATTTCAAAAAATAGTAATTCAGAAAATAGCATTCAGATCTAATAAAATACCTATGTAATTGTTAATCTTGTTTAAGTCGTAATTTAGATATTAAAGTTATACACATGCAATAAAATAAAAAATAGATATATATATACAAATACTATACTTGCACACATACTCATACTTTTCATATTTTACAAATATTATGACTCTTTTTTTTAGTGAAATATAATTTTTCAATAACATTTTATGGTTTAAGAAGCTAAGTTTGAAATTTCAGTAAATTAGGAATTTTTTTTTCAAAAATTATTGTTAACAGATTTTTTTAAGGCCTCGAATAAATTACTGTTTTCTTTAATAGTTGTAATGCTAATATAATTTTTATTATTTATAATTAGATATTATTTTCTTCAAGTAAAAATGAAATTTGTCATTTTTATACAAATTCAAAGAAATGCCAATTTTTTTTTTTACCACATTCAAATTGGCAGTTTTGACTTACAATACTTTCAAAACACTATACAAAATCTAGTTTAGTGGACGTTTTATACTACACAATTATTTATTTTAAAAAGAAAAAAATTTTTTTTTAAATTATTTTTTAACGAAATATGTAGAAAATTTAATAGGGATTTTTTTTTATAAATCTTCCTAAAGAAGCGATGAAAAACTTCCTAAATATTACGACAAAGAAAATTTTAATTATCTATAAAAAAATCTCTAAAGACATAAATTTAAATAATGAACAAAATTATTTTCCGATATTTACGTATCATGTGAAATAAAATTTTCATTTTTAAACTCAAGCATATCACATAATTATAGTTACTAAAAAAATGTTAACAATCTAATCTAAAAATTTAGAACGTTGAAGTGGAACATTGAAAATTTGCAAATTTCTTAGAAAAACTCTTATAATGATAATTTTTATGTTTCTAAAAAATAAAATTTAAATCATCTAATATCTATGCCAAATTAAAAAAAAAACAATCAAATTTACAATATTATCAAAAACGTACATATGAAACTGGTAATATGAAATATAAATCGTGATGTAAATTTAATTTTAATAAAATTAGTATTTCAAGAAAATTATATTTAAATTTTTTGTTTTTGAAATATTTTTTTTCCAAAAATTGGAAATATAAAATCTTGCTATATCTGTGTATAATCAATAATTGAAGTATTTTTTAAAATTAAATATCGACGTTATTTTCATAAACTATAATTTTATTTTATTCATCAATACTAATTTGTTGTAATATAGTTTCTTAAAAATTAAATACCTATCTATAAAAAAAAAATTGATTAAATCTTTTATTTTCTATTTATAAATTTTTATAAATACTTTTAAAAATATTAAAAAATTTCTCTTTGAGAATTAATTTTAAAAAATTAATAAAACATCTAGAGATAATTTAGAAAAACAAAATTATTTCGTCAAATAATAAACTGAAGGGAGAGAGAGCAATTTTTATTTATATAATATTTAAAAAAAAATGTCGAGAATTTTGCTTAAAATTAAAAAAAATTTCATATTTGAAATTTTTTTTTATCATATACATATTTTTGTTTTAATCAAAATTTTCAAAAAAATCAATATTTTACCAATAATTACCTAATATAAAAATATATTTACATAATATAATGTAAATTCTAAACTATGTAAAAACTTCATTCTTATTCATTGAAAATAAAAATAGAGTTAAATTAATTTCATCAATTTGGATGTTGAAAGATTTTTCAAAAAAATTGGAAAAGTTTTTGCCTCACGTAATTATTTTTCAAACAATTTTTTTCGCAATTGCACTGATTTTGTAACTACTTTAGTTTAGTTATTTCTCTTTCTCCCTTTTTTTGCATTTTTCAAAAATAGAAATCCAATTTCAAATTTAAAAACCTTTTCTTCAAAACATAGACCGTAGCTTTTTGTTAAAACAAAAATAACAATGCTTTAAATTTTTCAAAAATTTGAAATTTGAAATTTGAACTTGAGTTTGACTCTTATTTCAATTGTAACTTAAAAATTCAACTCAATTTAATTTTGTCATTTCAGTGAAAATGTTCTTTTCAACTTTTTAATTTAATTAAGTTACATTCATTTTAAAGTTAAATTTTTTTTCAGCTAAGGTCCATGAAACTTATTAACATTTTTGCCTTTTAAAAAAGAATGTTCGCACAATTTGCAAGACAAAGGTTTTTAAATTGGAAACTGGATTGTTTTCAGTCAGTCAATGTTACAATTACTTTTATGATACCTTCTTCTCTTGCGCACTTCAAGGCCTCGATTAAGATCCTCTTCATTGAGTCCAAGAGCTTTTACCATTGATCGACTTCGCCAAACTTTCACTGTATAATCGTCGCTCGTTGTTACCAACATTTCTGGATCACGGGGATTAAACGCCACTGAATTCACCACGTCCGAATGCGGAAATTTTGCCAAACAAACGCCATAGTGTCGATCCCAAAGATATCCATGTTTATCTTCAGCACCACTAAAAAGAAAAATTAATTACTTTTCAATTTCGTTTAAAATTTACCTAAGAGAACAATAATTAGAATAAATTTCTTCAATTACATCAAACAATATTATTTTAAATAAATTATAAATAAATTTCAAATTATTGTAATAAAATTTTAATTTTCAATTATAGATAAATATAATTTTTAATTATAAAAATTTCAATTATTTTAATAAATTAGAAAATTTTCAAAAATACTTGAATTTTTTCAATTTTAAATTATTTTAATAAGAATTTTCAATTTATATAATTAAAAATAAGTTCGAAAAATTAGATGGAATATTTGTAAAAACCTTGCGACATATTCATTGCACACGTCCAGAAAAATGAAGAAACATTCATTATTTGGTGTATAAGCTTTATGTGCTCTCAACATTGTTCCCACTTGTTTTAACGTAACCAAATCAATAACGTGAATATCAATTTCTTGAGCTATTGGCGGTGGTAGTAATGGATTAGTAATGACATATCCTCTAGGCCACGGTCTCGTATTTACGTAAAGATATCTTGAAAAAAGGAAGAAATAAATTTATATTCGCAAATACTGTTATAAATATAAATATTCACAAATTATTAAATTCAACATACTGATTAATAATGAAGTTATTTTCTTTTATTCCTATAAACAAATCATATAAATAATTTCTAATTTTGTAAAAAAAATAAAAATTTTAATAAATAATTCAATAAAATTGTCGGAAATCACAAAATTAGGTTATAATGACAGACAAACTTTTAAAATATATTTGAACCATTATTCTAATTTTTCTACTGCTTGAATTATTAAACAATAATCAATAAATTAATTCTAAACAAGAGCCAATAATTCTTTTTATACATTAGAGTTTTCAGCAAAATTATGTAGCACAATTTTTATTTTATGAAAATTCTAATTTGAAAATTAAAAAGGATTCAAAATAAAGGTGGTGATTCCCCTTAAATTTTAACAATATTTAATAATTGTTGATTCTAAACTAGAAAAAAAAATTGACACCTCAAAACATTAATGTTGATAGATTGAAATTTTACCTGTCCCTCTTTAAAATAATAAAAAATGTTAATTTTTTATTATACCTGTGATCTGGAGAAAGTCCCATTCCAATAATATGGCCATGAAGATCAATGAGATGATCGACTTTATCGAATTTATCGGCAACTGAATCATAATCCTGCCAATTTGGCTCCGGTCTTGGCGATACTTCGCGTTCTCTTTCACGTTGAGCCAATCTTTCACGCAATGATGGTCCAGGATCGAGTCGCCGCGGAAAATTAACTGGTTTAATTCTCTTGAAACCAACTTGATGTGGTGTATATGTTTTTGAGCCCGTTGCAAAAATAAGAAACTTCTCTGGATTGTCATTTAATTCGTCAAAATCACAATCCTCTGCCGCTGACGATTCTATAATAAATTGTTTGAAAATCATTTTCAATTATTATTTATGAAAATAATGATTTTTTCTTTTAATATATAAATAAAAAGCAAAATAAAAATTGGAAGAATAAAATAATTCGACAAATGTCAAAAGAAATAAATAAAAAAATAAATAGGGTAACAAAATGTACCATCAGATTCACTTTCTTCTTCTAATTGAGAATTTTCGTTTTCTTCTTCATCTTCATCCTCTTCATTATCGTCGTCATTGTCTTCATTTTCACTGTCACTATCCGCTATTTCTCTTTCCATTTCCACCTGACGATATTCTTTATTATATCGAATTGGTTTTGCATATTCAAAACCGTCGCCAAGTTTTCGCCAATTCATAAAACCACCTTCAAGTGTGCTGTATCTAGAAAAAAAAAGAAAATTAATACAATTTTTTTTTCTTACTTACTTACTGTTTACTATTTAAATTGTAAATTTCAAAAATTAATAAAAAAAAAGAACAGAAAAAATGTATAAAAAATTTTTTCTGTCTAAAGATTTTTTTTTTGTGGGTAGAAAAAGAACTGGGATATGATTAAAAACAAAAAATGTAATAATAAAATAAATAAAAAAATACTGTAATCTTGAAGATGCGTGGTGTAGGACTTCCGGTTGTTCCGGAGGTGGTGAACAATTTACTGACGTTGACGATAGATCCCGATGACTCGGTGGATTTCCTCGTTCCTCATGCATAAACGATGTTGAAGGTTGATCCTGTGAATCCTCGGCTTCATTGGGAGCAGGCGATAAACAATCAGCGACCATTATTGCTCGTATTGAAGCCGCGTTTCCATTATAAAACCTATCGACATTAATAATATTGATTAATATAAATTATTTTCATTTTTATTCATATTTATATTAAGTAATTGCGAAAAAAATAAAGAAACAGAGAATAAATAAAGACAAATTTTTCAAAATCGTGGAAAAATTTGTCATAGGTGAAATTTTTTTTTTTTTTAATACAGGCCTCGGATTGTACAATTTTTTGCGAATTATTTTTCGAAAACACGACTTTATTCAATTTGATTTAAAAAAATAATTATTTTCACTAATTTTAATGAAATTTTTCACAAATTCAATTTATCTTTAACTATATTTCAATTAAAAATTTCATAAAATTCAATAATTGTTTAAAAAATCATCAAATAAAATTACTAAAAATTTCTATTCAAAATCACTTGAAATTCAATTTAAAACCTATTACAATTTAATTACTTCTAAAATTTCACATCTAAAACTTTCTGAAATTAAATAATTTCAACTACAACTCTTCTGAAATTCCATTATTTTTAATGATTTTGATAATATTCTTCAAAATATCAATTATCTGAAAGCATTTTTCAGTTGAAAACTTCTGAAATTCTATTTTTGTTTGTAATTTCTAATAAATTCTTCATCACCCAAAAATTTAATTAAAAATCACTTGAAGTTCAATTATTCTCAAAAATATGAATTGTAAATTTTTGTAAATGAAATTACTATTTAAAAATGTTATCAAAAATTATTTGATAAATTATTTTCAATTTCGAAAATTTAATTATTGTCTGAAATTTAACAAAATCTTCAATAAAATTGATAATTTAATTTGAAAGTCAATTATTTCTAAAAATTTCAACTGTAACTCTTTCAAAATTCAATTATTTTTAATAATTTTAATATCTCCTTAACAATTCAATTATTTAAAAAAGTGTCAAATAAAAACTCTAAAATTGAATTATTGACAGAAATTTTTTAAAAAAACTACATCAGTTCAAAATTGCAGAAAATTTATTTCAAATTTAAAATCTTTTGCAATTCAATTATTTGAAAAAAAAATAATTTAACAATCTGTAAAACTTAATTATTGTTTGAAATTTTATTGACCATTAAAACTGAAAGCTATCCTGAAATTTTTAATTCGAATAATTTTCTTAAATCATATATGAAAAATTTTTAAAAATGAAACTTTAAGAATTTTTTTTTAATTATTTCCTACTTTACTAAAATTTTGAAAATTTGTCTTAATTCGATTCTGAAATATTTGAAATAAATTTTCTTGATAATATTCTTCTAGAAATATTCTTAGTAAGGAATTGATAAAACGAATTTAAAATCTAATAACATTAGTTATTTGAAGTAAATTATTTATCAACTAATAAAACTTAGTTAAAATAAAAAAATCGACTTTTTCGATTTTTTTTTATTGTAAGTCGACTAAAACGACTTTTTTCCGTTTTAAAGTCGATCCAAAATCTGTTAATACATTGAACTATGAAATCATAAATTGCTGAGAATAATTGACCAAATTTAGTAAAAAGTTGGACGATAAATGAAATATTGACAAAAGAAAAAATGTTATTTTTACTTGTAAAGCTGACTCATTATGGGTACATGCTCGCTGGCTGATTCTTGATTAGCCTTATTGAGCCACAGTACACTTGTACTGACTAGGTGAGCAAGCCAATATACATCTCCACTTAAAAGATAACGTTCACTGTACCAAGTGCCAAATATGTCGTACGGTTTGTTCACAATTCTACACTGTAAATCGAAGCCAGCTGCAAATGCAATTGCAAAATAGATTATATCTACAGCGAAAAATAGTCTTAGTTTATAAATAAGGCATTAATTAAATAAACTAAAATAAATATCCCAATCATAAAATTCATAGAAAAAGAAAAAATCAAATAATTTCAAATAGTTTTTTGTTCTTTATAATAATTAAAATAATTTAAAGAATTCAATATTTTTCTAAATGACTAAATTGAAATTTTTAATATTTATAATTCGTAAATAGAAAAAATTATAATAATATTATTAATAATTATTAGTAATATTAATTAATAATCTTACGTGCAATACGAAATACGGCTATTTCACCGGAAGTTGTGTGCGGAGTTCCAAAATGAACTCCAGATACAAGGAGCAAAGTATCTGTTGAATTAAATTGCGAAAATTGGGTATATCTCCATCTAAATGTTTTCATATCGTGTTGATATTTAATAGTCACTGGATATTGACTATCCCAAACCTAAAAATTGAAATATTACATTAAATTTAAAAAAATGTAAATTTGATAATTCTATTAATTACGCTAAATAGAAAATTTAAATTCCATTAATTTAATATTAATTTCTAAAGAATTTTATCTCAAGAATTGCAAACATTTATCTTACAACAATGTATCCATCTTTTGAACATGTAGCAAATAATTTTCCATTGTGAGAGAAGCTGACATGTAAAACTTGATGAGCATGTTCCTTTAAAACTTCTGTTTCCAAAAGTGGTGTATGATAAGCCAATCGCTTAAATTCACCTAACCAGGAACTTTTTCCTTAAAAGAAAACAAATTTTATTCATTTGTAAATAAAAAATACTATTTACCAAAATAAAAGTCAAATCAATAATTAGCTCCTTTTTTTTTGTTTGCAATTTAAAGATAAAAAAACTGTATCGTTCGATTTTTTATTCAATTAAAAAAAAAAAAAAATTTTTTTATAAAAATTTTAAGCCTAGTCCCATTGTGGGAAATAATTTTTTTTTCATAGTTAAAACCATAAAAAAATCCAAAATTCATTAACTTTTTTTGCGTTTCTCGAATAAAATATGCAAAATTTTCAAACATTTTTTTTTAAACAATTTATCTTTAAATTACATGAAAAAATTAGTAAATTATTTTTCTAGAATTTTCGAAAAGTTCACTTAAAAACACACAATTTCAAAAAAAATATAACCTTTAAAATTGATGAATATTTTTACAGTAATTTATGAGTATACAAAAAAGAAATTCTTTTAAAACCTGAAATTTTGAAAAATTTATGTCTTGTAAACTATTTGATAAAAAAAATATGGAAAAAAATCATTCAACCCTTTTTCAATTTTAATTAAAATTGTCCCCATCGAAAGTGTATTTATAAAAAATTCTTTCGTAATTACATAATGAAAATTTTCGTTTTTCTATTTTTTTTTAAATTAATGTATTCCAAATTAGCGTGTACTAAATAATTCACTATTATTAATTATATACTTATTAGTAATTTATAAATTTTTCTATATATATATTATTTATAGGTCAAATTTTCTATGTCTTTTACATAATATATTTCGAAATTTGCAAACAATAATGACTCTGTTAGTAAAAAAATTTGATTACACCTTTCTAACAATGAAACTAACAAAAAAAAAACTATTTAGAAAGGTCAAAAGTTGAAATTGGCTGCGATATATAGGTTATGAGTGCCAGATAAATATATATATTTCTCTCTAATTTCAATACAAAAATTAATACCTGGAACAATTCCAATGCTTGGATCAATTTTAAAAGTATGATATAAAAGATCTTTCCAGAGAAATTCATCTTTAGAGACACGATTCCAAGATTTGCATACTTCGCCAGCAGTTAATAATTCCTTTGGATTTAGATACCGGAAGATGCTGAGCAAAATGGAATCTGGCATATAAAACCAATTGTCAACTGCATTAACAACAATTGATTCCACTGAAGATTGTTCCTCATCTTCGTCGACATTATTTTTATTTTCCTCAACACTTTCATCAGCATCCATAACTCGTTTGTGTCTTTCTTTGTTTACTGCGGAATCACTGAACAAAACAGCTGATTTTAAAGCTTTCGTGTCCACTCCGCATGTCAGGTAAATATTTTAATCTCAAATATTGCGCACGCATCAAGAAAAATCAGCTGACTCGATATATTTCAAGTCATTGGTTGGTGAGATGAATGCGCGTTTGTTTAAAAATTTGAAATAATATTAATTTTTTTATAACAAAATTAGAATTAAAAAATAAAACGTTAAATTAAATACTGCATTAGAAAATTCAAATTAAATTTAATTCTCAAGAAACAAGTTATCTTCATTAAATTTCAACTATACATTAAGATAAAATTGTAATATGTTTTGAATTCAATTTTTAAATTAAATTTCTCGTGTTCAATTTGAAATGCGATATTTCTTTTTTTTTAAATATAATAAAAAATGAGCAACAACATTTTGTGACTGACATTCATTTTTATGATACATAAAATTTCTATACACAAATTATTATTATTTTTTTTAAATAATCTTAAAATACTATAACATTCTTTTGTTGAACTTCGCTAGACTTTTCTAAAATATAAATATATATGTATATAGATACTTGAAATACAATTTTATTCTGTAAATAATAGTAAAAATAATTTAACTATTCGTAGTTACAATAATCAATAAAAAATTATTGTTACCTAATTAAAAGGAAAGGTTTTCTTCAAATAAAAGAAAAGTTTTATCACTTCTCTCTAAATATTGAATTTCCAAAGTAAATTAGTAAAATATTTTTATATTATTTGCAACGTTACATAAATTACGTCAATTTGTTTTCTTTTTTTTCTTTATAAGTTATCACTACATAAATGTAGGTAATATATTGTAAAACTTAAAGTACAATCACATTAAAATGCACAGTTAATGCTTCAACATCATCAATAATTATAAAGACAATAATAAACAATTATACATCTCTTTTTATCTGTTTTCGTTCATTCGTTTACACTTTCTCATTTTCTCGCAATTCTTTTTTTCATACATTAACATAACAAAATGTACATATAAATACAATAATTTGTATTCTACTATAAGTACATATATATATATAATATATAATTCGCTAACTAATCTGTAGATTTTTTTTTTATATAGAGTTTACATTGAGTTTTTTTCTTCCCTGCTATAACGAATGTGTAGATTTTTTTTTGGACTTTTCCTATTTTTTTTGTACCATTTTTAACTGAGATCTCATTCGTTTCCAAATCTGAGACAGTTTGTTAAAAAAAAAAAAAAAAAACTGTCGACAACTAGAAAAATGTTCAAAAATAATAATCTTTGAACGGAATGTTCTTTGAGATTCTGTGTAAAGAAAAAAAAATGTAGAGAAATTTAAAAAAATTCATTTTTTTAGAATCGGAAACGAATTAATCGTGATTATCCTTCTTTTTTTCTTTTCATCTCCCAGTCACTAAAGAAAGGAGAATTTAACACGAGATTCATTTTAATGGAAACGTTTTTTTTTTTTTTTGTTTTACAGAAGTGAAAGAAAATATATTTGAGTAAATTATACTTGACTTAATTTTTAATTAATAATTTAATTTTAAGTTTAATTTAAAATAAAAATCTATTGAAATCAATATATTTATGAAACAATAATCAAGTAATAACATTTTTTTTATACTCAAATAAATTTTCTTTTCATTGTAATTTCTCTCTCTTTTTTTTATGGAAAATATTTTATCGTACACATAATATAGTGGATCATTTTACAAAACATTTACATATATTGCACACTTACAATGATCTATCTTTGGATAGAAATTTCTTTTTTTGAAGGGTAATGGGGGAAGGGGGAGGGCGATTGATTTACTATAATTAACGTCTCAACAGTTACAATATAGAAGTTAATTCGAATGAAACATCAATTTTACAATAAAATTAGTGAAAATCAATCGACAACACTACATGTTTTATAAGGTATTTTTTTTCTAAGGCAATATCCTAAATAATTGGAACTCTAATATCACCCACAATTTATTAATTAAGCCCTTTTTCTTTAGGATCTCATGGAAAATTGCGAACAAGTTGTCAAAGGAAACATTGAAAAAAGTTTCCTTGAAACTTTTAAACCGGTAATTTTTCATCTGGAATTTCGATTTTTTTGACAACAAAAAAAATTGATTCCAGAAACATTCCTAAGATTTCCGTAAGGATTTTGTTTTGCATTTTTTTTTTTTTTTTTGTTTTTTTTTTGTTTTCAAACTCAACTCTTTTATCGCTAATGATATTTATTTACTCGATAATGAAAAAAAAAGACTGCACTTAAATAGTTTTATTTTGACCAAATTTCATTTGATCAAGATTTTTGAGACGCAAAATGTGCAGTTAAAGCTTGTTATTTGTGACTATAAAAAATCGCTGAAATATTAACAAACGCAGATGAAAAATATTCAGACGATAAGTTGTAAAAAAAAACGAAGACGTTTTGATTAAAAATACGCGATATTAAATGTACAAGTGACTTTTTTTAAAACATATATAAAAAAAAGTGAAAATTTAACTGATTATTTAAAATGGTAAATAAAAATAATGAAATAAAAAATAATAAAAATTTTTTAAATAAAAATAAAAAATTATTTGCCACTGGCAATATTATTTTTTTTTTTCATGTAGTAGAAATAAAAGTGAAAGAACGTGAACTCAGTCGGGATTTTTCGGAAAGACAGAAACGACAGTGGTCACAATAGAGTTCCCCATTATCGTATTAACGTCAGGTATCTAAGTATTCGGTTTCGTAGTTTTTGTTTTTTTTTTTTTTTTGAAATAAGATAACTGAAAAATTCAATTAACAGGAAGCATTCACTAATCCCCGATGTTCCAATGAATCCTTCAACGATTGAAACAATTGTAATTGTTGCTCGGATTTTAAATTAAAAACCTGTAAAGAAAGATTAATATATTTTTTTTACATTTTAATTATTTGTTATTTAAGTAAATTAATTTTTCAATATTTTTAATTCTAAATTTTATTTCTATAATCTGTAATATTAAAGAGTATATTAAATTAATAACAAAACTTGAATCATATTTTTTTAAAAATAAAATAAAAATTAACAAACTGAATAAATATATAATAATAATAATAATAAATCATTAAATAATGAAATACACTTATGAATAAAGTTTTGAGACATATTTTGGAATGCTTAAAAAATTTAAAGTAATATTATAATAAATACCTGCTGCAGAAGTTTTTGAGGTGAGGCGGTGTGAATGAAAGAAGAGATATAAACATTCACAAATGTTGCCATTAAATATTGACAGTCAAACCTGTCCATTATTCCACCGTGTCCGGGAATAATATCTCCAAAGTCCTAAAAATTTTATTTTTTTAAATATTTAATTACTCAAATTTAAATTAAATTTTACTTTAATACTAAATTCTTTCAATGTAATTCAAACAGAAAAAAATTATGAAATTATTTTAATAAACAAAAAAATTATTTTAATTTAAATTCGTAAATTCATTATTTGTTTTGTAAATTTTTTTCGCTTCTTCTTTTCTTTTTGAGAAAAATATTAATTAATAAATTAAATACTTTAATCGAACTAATAAATTAATTGATTAATAAAATTAAATAATTAATGTTCTATAGAAATAATAAATATGTATTTAAAAATCATTATTTTCTCAGAATAAATGATTAATTTTCTTTCTTGTTAAATGTAAAAAAATTACTAAATTTTCTATTTTTTTATTTTTAATACCTTGATTTTAAATGCCCTTTTAAATCCACTAGCGAAAAATCCTCCAAAAGGCCCTATCACAGAGCTGAATACTGACATCGACAATGAGTGCAGTAAAAATGGATAAATTGTGATGGTTGTCTTCATGTTGATCTGGAAAGAAATTTTATAATAGATTTTCAAAAATGAAAATTATACATTTGCATTAAATAATTTTAAAAAAACTAAGAGTTTTTTTAAAAAAATAACATTTTCACTGAAAATTAAATTACATAAGTAGAAGAAAATAAATAAATAAAAAAGAAAGAAAGAAATATTCATTCAAAAATTATCTAAATACGAGAATTAAATTTTTATAAAAAAATTTAAATGAAAAAAAAATGATTGACAAAAACACTAAGAAATTATTTTAAAATAATAACCCACCAATTTTGTTATAGTTTGTAAACTTTCTGGCAAAGTGTATTCTTGTGGTTTAAATAAACTCGACGGTTCGCAGTCCATTGTCATTCGACCCAAAGTTTCACTATATTCAATTGGACAAACAAAGTAGCGATATTGACACATAACGTACGCCATCTGAAATTAAAAAAAAAAAATGATTACAAATTTATTTTATTAATTAATGTAATAATTTTAATAATATTTATTTTAATATTTATTTATTATGTATTAATTTTCATAAAATATTGATTAACAAACCAATAGTCCAAGTACGACAGTCGCAATACCGCCACCAATGAATCCTTCCCACGTCTTTTTTGGTGACAATTTTATTAATGGTGTTTTGCCAAAGAAAAATCCAAAAACATACGCCATCACATCGTTTATGACTATCATACTCACTGGTACAATGAACCTAACATAAAAGAAATAAAAAATTTAATTTTATAATTAAATATTAATTTTAACTTAATTAAATTTAATATAATTTCACTTTTAGATCAAATTGTAAATAATTTAAAAAGGAAATTAAAATAAAATCTTATTTAATTTTTTTTTTTTACAAAACATACCAGATGAGACCTTCGAAAATGTTTTGTATTATCAAGTAACTCTGAGTAACGACGATTAAAAGTGCCACATGAGTCCATGCGAAGAGGGAAAATTGTTTCATATAGTATTTTTTCACAAGCGACAGGACAAACCATACGAAACCAGTGATGTAGAGACAAAACGAAATAAAGCGATGATACGTCACGAGAACTCGTAAATATTCCTATTTTTAAACAAATAAAAATTTACAATTTTATATTTAATAATAATTTTCATCTGCAAAATTCATTCAAATTTACAAAAGATATAATTACCAAACAAAAATTTTCAAATGATAATAATAAAAAAAAAAAAAATTAAATCGCAAATATTTTATATAAGTGACCTCCAAAAAAAAAAGAAATTGTCACTTGTAAGAATCGAAGCCCTTGTTACCGCATAAATTGAAGCCTCATAAATTGGAAAACGTAATCGCGGTCAGGAAGAAGAATCGATTTCATGTCAATGCTGTCGAGGTTCTTTTCATGTTGATTTGCGCATTGTTTTATTGATAATTATAAATAATGTCTTTTCTTTTTTTTTTTAAATTGAAAGAATGATTTCTTGCAGATCAAAAAACTAAATGATTTTTTTTTTTATTTGCAGAAATATTGAAAAAATGACTTATTTACCGTTCGATTGATTACAACGGCAAAATAGTCCATCAAATTCTCCCCGTAGAAAAAGTAATTTGATGTAATTAAAAAGTACCACGAGAGTGATCGAAACCATGGTAAACCGTGAATTCGATAAACAGCATATCCAATATTGATTATCTCTTCGAAACATTTCACCTGCACGATTAATGTCTGTGAAAGAAAATCAAAAATTATTCTTTTTTTCATTTATATTTGTAAATAAATATTTATATTTTTATATCAAACAATTATTAACAATTAGAGAAATATTTTAATATCAAATGAAATGTATAATATATATTTATTTAGAAATTCATTTTGTTTTTTTAATTATATATAATTTACAAATTAAAAAAAAAAAGTTCATTACCGTGAGCATTAGAGCTAAAGGTCCTCCATAAATTATCAGGCAAAATCCACTTATCATTAGCCACGTAAAGATTCCTCGGATTACCCAATTTTTCCAGCTGTAAACATTAAAATTCTATTTATATATATATATACAAAATTAACATCCTTCATTTAAATGACATTATACTTTGTACTCAACTCCTTATACAGGATTAAAGAGATTTCTAATATTTAAAAAAAAAATAAATTCAAAAATAAATAATTACGAAATTTGAAGAAAGAATATTAAATAATTTTTTTTCGAAAGTAAACAACTAATTGAGGAGTAAATTATCAAAAATTAGATAGTTATTTTGAAAAATATGAAATTTCTCACATATCCACTTAAATTAAATTTAAGGAAGAAAAATTGTATTAAATTATTTATATAAAAATGTTTTTTGGATTTAAAACGTTTTTTTTTTAAATTAAATTCTATCATTATTGGAGAATTTAATTTTTTCTATCAAAAAGAAATAAATTTATAAATCATATGTTTTTCAACTGAAATTTCTTTGTTAATAAATTTTATTTTTTTTAATTCAATTAGAAATAATTTGTAATTTGTAAATATAGATAATTTTAATAGTGCTATAAAAAAAGAAAGAAAAAATTGCAAAAAAATTTTACCGTTCTGGTAGGCCGGAAAGAATAGATCCGAGAAGATGTGGGATGTGATTTGTTCCTTGTGATAAAGTTTTAGACATTTCGTCAACTTCAAGTTTGGCATCATCTTCAGACTCAACATCCTCTTTCTGAATAAATAATTTTTTACGTGTTACATAAATGCTATAATTATACAGATGTTAATAACATAAATCAAGAAAAAATGTTCTTGTGAAGGCGAAACACGAAACTCATGATATTTAATTAACTCTGATTTATTTAATATTTTTTAAATTTTATCTTGATCTTTTAATTATCAATTACATTAAAAAAATATTTACAAAAATATTAATAATAAAGTAATAATATTTTATTTTATTATTCAATCATGTATATCAAAAATAAAATAAAAAAAAATTAAAAATTTAATAATAATATTTTGGGCGTTTTCTACAGATGCTCCGAGAGTGCTCTGGAGCATTTGTAGAAAACACCTTTTATTTCATTTTATGCCTTTTGAAAAGGCCTTTACAAATTATTAAATCGAAATAACTAGAAAGTTATATGAAACTCTGTACTTAAAAAGCAACTATAGAAACATCTCCAATATTATTTTGTTTTAATTTAAAAAATTTTTATTATTTTTCAGTTTATTAACTAAAAAGATTTATTTACTAAAATATATATGTTTATCACAAAGAAAAAGTTATTAAATAATTTACTATTTAAATGCACTATACATTATTTTCTAGAAATTGTTTCTATTATAGTTTAGAAAAAAATAATGTAATCAAAAATTTGAGAAATAATATAAGAACAACAAATAATAATAAACATAAGAGAATAAATAAAAAAAAAAATTTTTTAAACAATTATTTCAATTTTTTACTCTCTTCATTTGACAATTCAAGAATGCGTAATATATATTATTAATAAATTAAGAATTTAATAAAACAAAAATATCTTTAAAAAAAATCATCAAACATTATAAACCCAAATAAATAAAAAATGTTATAAAAGTGACAAGCTACAAAAAATTTTCTATAAGATAAAAATAAAGTAAATTATTTCAGAAGGGGGATGTTAAAAATAATATTTATATATGTATATACTGGAGGTATTTAAAAAAAAGTAATAAAAAATTAAGAAACAGGATTATAGTTGCGCATAAATACATATCAATTGATAAAAGTTCAGAATTTCATATGAAATGTAAGATAATTGAAATTGTAGACGACATTTGATTGGCATTAATTATGAGATGAAATATAGAAGATTGTTAGATGTCAAAGAAAAAAAAAACATCAACATATACATAGAATTTTTCTTCTCACAATTATTATTAATAATGAATGAAGATGTCTAAAGAGTCTAATTATTGATAACTAAATATATACATAATTTATTTATTCTAACGAGAAATAAATATCTATATAAAAATAAAAAAGGAAATTGAAATTTTTATAAATATATAATTGAAAATGCTTTTACTTGATCATCACTGACATCCCGTGGAGCCTCTGACGTATCTTGGACAGTTCTTTTTCGAATTGAAGACATTGTTGAATTATATGATTTTCAACTTTTTATTCACCCGAGAAACTTAAATATCAATAAACAAATTACGATCACTCTTTTGTCAAATACATATTTACATATTTAAATAATTAATTAAACGAGCGGACGTGATGCACACAATATCGGAGTTACTTGTTAATACAGAATCAGCGCAAGTCCAAAATGAACAATCCACGTTGAATCGGAAAAGCCCGGTAAGCCACGGTAAACTTCGGAAAATCGATGATAATTTCGCCCTATTTTTAAAATTAAAATACCAGCAATATTTTTCATTGGACTAGAGCAAGGAACGCGGTAAAATTAATATTCCATTTTATTTTTACTAATTTTTATTAATTAATTATAATAAAAAAAATGAGTAAAAAAATTTAAGATCTAAATTTTAAGAGGTTATGTAGGTTCGATATATAATCGATATATATGTATATATCATATATATTAATTTGCCCTCAATTTACACCTTACCACTGCAATTATTAAAAAAATATTAATAATTGTAGGTTTTCTGAATTTTTTTTAAATATTTTTTTTTATACTCTGAATCATAAGCGAGAATAATTAAAAAAAATCTTTCTTAAACTATTGATAAATACAGATGAAAATAAAGTTCCCGCCAAGGTAAGTATCGAAATATCGAAATTCGAAAGTTTTTAGGAAAAACAATGTGTGGCATACTTCACGTGTTTGACTTTAAGTATTTTTTCAAGACAAAACAATTAAAAATAATCAAATTTAATCAGTCAAATTTTTCTTAATCCGATTTTAATTGGAGGTTTCCTTTTTTTTAACAATTGTATGAACATTGAAAGTGAAAAAATATTTTTTTTAATAAAATGCAACTAAAATGAAGGACTAATTTAATTAACAATGTGTTATTATAATTTTGCAATCGTCATGATAGTGCATTAAGTGTTTACCGTTGAATTTATAATATTGTTAAATTATTATTATGACTTTTTTTTGTTGAAATTGATGTAGTCATAAGGTTATCAAACGAAATTCTATAATTATAATTAGTTGACGAGTTTTTTTTTATATTTATGTATAAATTGAAAAGGAATTAAAGTTTCAATCATGGAGAATAAAAGTTCCCACAATTTCATAAGTTATGTAGGTTTAGAAGAACATGAAATGGAGGCAAGTGTTATTTAATATTATTATTAAAAAATTTTCATTTGTTAGATAATAATTAGAAGGAATTATTTTCTTATGGTCAATTTTCAATGTAAACAGAGAAACATAACCTTACTTTACTAACATTTTTCTATATTAATTATTCTTAACATATTTACACTCGAAACAAGAAATTTATTAAGAATTTATTATATTCGTGAACTTTTACATGTAAAGAATTTTATTTTCTATAAAATTATGGAAAATGTTTCTTTAGTATTAATTTTAACAAAAATTTTTCCTAGAATCTTGGATCAAGTCGTCGAAGTTCTTTAAATGAGAATAATATAAAATTACTAAATGGAGAATCAATTGCTGCAAGTGCAAAAAATGTATTAATGTTTTCACCAGTTGGCGATTTTAAAAAAGGCATTTCTGGAGTTCTAGTTGTTACTAATTTTAAATTAACGTTCCTTACCACCGAACATGCAAACGGAGAAGTAATTTTACAATTATTTTATTAATTTAATATCTTGTTAATTATATAATTTTTTAGTTCATTTAATGAATTTATATAATTTTGTCACATTTAAAATTGTAATTTATACAGGATTCTGTGTATCAACAAAATAATCTTTATGGATTTATGGACACTTGCTTGTCAAATATAGACGATATTTATTTAATAACGGGTGATAAAAAAAGGAGACTCATTCCTAGAAATATTGTCTCTTCAAAAATTAAAGGAAAAATATTTATTGTTTGCAAGGTATTTAAAAGATATTTTTTTTCTAAAATTTCTAATAAATTTTCTATATTGCATGTTATTAAATTTTGTCATGATTTTATTAATAATTTTTTTTAGTCTTCAAATAAAATTAAATGAATAATAAATAGTATTTTTTTTAATTCAATTGAATTTTAATTACAGAATTTTCGAACCTGGTCATTTTCTTTTAAATTCTCCTCTCCAGATCATGGGCAAAAAGTGGTAAACGCTCTTTTACATCATGCATTCCCAAGCAGACATCAACTTTTGTTTGCTTATGATTACAAGTAAGTTAAAAAGTATTCCAATTGTGTTTTTGTAAAAAAATTTTTTTTTAAATTATGATGCAGATAATAAAATAAATTCTAAGAAAATTGGATTTTTCGAAACTACAATTCTTGTTTTTATAAAGTATTTGAAGTTTTGTTAACAAGTTTCTTTTTTATTATAAAAAATATAATTAAAATTATATCTATGAATTCGAATAATTAAAAAAAAAAAATTTTTTTTTAGAGTAAAGTATTACTGTAGTGTCGATAAAAGTGTTCGTTTCTATCGAGACAAATCTGATTGGGAAAATGAATTGGAACGAGTTTTACATAAAAGTAGTCATTTAAAAAGAGGATGGAGATTGTCCACGGCCAATGAACAATTTCAATTGTCATCTAGGTATGTTAATTATTTTCAAAATAAAAAAGAATTTTTCTAATTAGTAAAAATTATCATTTTATTTCAATTAGTGATTTATAACGTTAAAATGATAATTTTTGTGATAAAATTATCGTCTATCTAATATTAAATTAATTAAATTTTTCTTTCAGTTTACCAGAATATATAATAGTACCTGCGTCCGTAACAGATAGTCAACTAACAAATGCAGCTCATCATTTTCAAGACAACCGTCCACCCGTTTGGTCATGGTCAAATGATCGAGGCGCTGCTTTAGTGAAAATGGCAGAATTATCGCCAACAATCACTGAAAGAATGCAGGAAAATATTATGCTTGAGAATATACGAAAAAGCCATCCACGTACAATACAACCAATTGTCATTGAACTCAATAAGGAAATCAATGTTAAATTCATTGCAAATAGTTTTTCAAAATTTGTCGGATTGTGTTCACCAGGTAAATAAAAAAAATTATTTTAAATTTATTTTTATTTATTTCTAATAAATAATAAGAATTATGATTTAATTTATAAGAGATGATAATTTATTTCTTTTTTTTCCGTTTAGAAAACATCAGGCAATTCTGGATTCAGGATAATAGTTTTTATTCGCTTCTAGAAACCACAAAGTGGCTTAAGTACGTTTCGTACTGTTTACAAAAGGCTGTAGAAACTAGTGATCATTTAAACGAGGGAGAATCGGTTATTTTACAAGGTAAGTGAAAAAAAATTACATAAAATTTATAAGAAAAAATTTATTTCAATTACAAATTTTTTATTGGATCAATTCATTATATTATTATTTCTTCCAAAATCGTTGCGGTACTATTTTATTCTAATAAAATCTGATAATTCGTAGAATTGATTTTTGATATATTTAAAAAAAATTATTTATTTAAAATGATAATTTATTTTTTTTAATTCAATTTTTTAAATCCCAATTTTTTTTATTTTTACAAACGCCACAAATTTCTGATTTTTTCTTAAATTTTCTTTTTTGTGACTTTCTATTTTCTTAAATTTTCAATTTTCTTTTCATTTTTCTATATTTTTTTTTGTTTATTTTAATCAATTTTTTCGATTACCTACCATTTTTATTTTTATAAACTGGACAAAAATTTTAATTTTATTTTAAGAATTTTTAATACTCAATTCTTTTGCTTAATTTCTTTTCGTTTCATAAAATTCTTGTTTTTTTTATTCTTTTTCAATTTTTCCTCTAAATTCTCCTTCTTTTGGAGGAATTTTTAAAATTCTCATTGTTTTTTCTCAAAGTTTCTTCGACTTTTTTGATTCGGTAAAATTGTTAACTTCTTTTAACTTTAAAAAATTATAATAATTCGTATATAGAAAAAAATTTTTTTCTGCTAAAGCATTTGATTATAAACGTTGTGAAATTTATCAACGTGAAAAATTCAATTTTTGTTTTAATATTTAGGATTAAAATTTTGTCATATTTTCAAAGTTTTGTGTTTGCATATGAACTATTTTTGAATTTTATTCAATTAAAAAAAAAAAAATTCTAAAAAAAACTACTTTAGATAAAATTTAATGAATCAATCCTATTATATTAAATTTGATTCTTTTTAATTTACAAAAGTTTTTATTTATTAAATTTATTTTCTTCTCCAATTAATAATTCTCATATAATTTTTTTTATTCATTATTGTATATGAACAATATACATATATTTTAATTAATAATACAACAAAAAATTCTCTCTACAGAGGCTAGTGGTCGAGATGTTTGCTGTATTGTTTCGAGTTTAGCGCAATTATTATTAGATCCATTCTTCAGAACCATAAATGGTTTTCAGTCTCTTATACAAAAAGAATGGATTGCAGCTGGACATCCATTTTGCGATAGATTGGGTTATATAATCAATGAAGATTCAGAAAAGGTAACTGAATATTTTAATTAAAAAAATATGAAGAGGGAAGAAATTGATTTCATTTAAAAAAGAAATTTTTAATTCTATAAATTTTAATTATTTAGTGTATGATTATTTTTTTCTCTTCATGTATTTATTTAAGTAATTAAATAATTAATAATTTATTATTAAAATTAATAAGTGAAAAGAAATATTTAATTAAAATTTAATGATTTCAGTCACCCTTGTTTCTTCTTTTCTTGGACTGTGTTTGGCAATTATGTCAACAATTTCCCACGGAATTTGAATTTACGGAGACGTATTTAACATCACTATGGGACACCGCACACGTTCCTATTTTCGATACTTTTCTGTTCAATTGCGAAAGAGATCGAATTCGTGCAGCTCAAGTATAAAAATTTAATTTCAAATAATAATAATAATTATTATTGTTAAAAATTGTAAATATTTTCGAAATTAATTTCAAATAATTGGAAAAATTATATTTTTAGGATCGAAGCTTCCCTGTGATTTTACGAAGTGTTTGGGATTGGCGTGAGCAATTCAGTGATCAGGATATTCTACTCTTTTGTAATCCTCTATTTAAATATGATGGCACAAAAAGGGAAAATGGCAAAACGAATATTAAACCACATTATAGTATTCCAAGTTTAGAACTTTGGTCGCAATGTTATTTTCGATGGATACCACCATTGGAAATTCACAATGGTGGGAGAAATCATGTGGAACTTCATGCGCGATTAGTTCAAAATGATATTGCACAATTGAAAATTAATGCCAATGGCAATTGTGAATCTCCAGTTGAAAAAATAACGTCCTACATTGTACACATGAATATCGACAGCTTTTATCCATTTAGTAATCGAACTTCTGGAAATACTGTGAGTACACCAATAATGAATAATTCGTTACTTATGAATGAGAATTTATTAGACGCCCAAAGTCTATTGACAGCCTCCGATTAAAATTCAATTCTCTATTCATTGGAGAAAAATAATTTAATAACAAAATGTGCAAGTTTCTTTTTTTTAGTTGAGATTTTTCGGTATTTTTTTTCACCGATAATTCTTAATAAATGTAGATTACTTTTTTTTTATAGTCAATTTTATAAGTATAATAATAACCAAATATCGATTTATTCCATTTTAAGAATTTGTAAAAAATTCATTGTCGATTTTTTAACTCTACTGTCAAAAAAATTTTTATGAATTGAAGTAGAGTTTCACTTTTTCTCTGTCAAAAGTTAATATTTTTTTTATCAATATTAGTAGTAAAAAGATTATTTTTACAATGAAAATTTTTATTTCCAAAAAAAGGGAAAAAAATTGTATTTATTAAATTTTTAGAAATTTGTAGAAATTTATTTTAAAAACATTTAACTCCTTAACATAACTAAATATTGATTTTATTAGCAAAAAAAAAAACTGATTAAAATTGTTTTCATCAAATTGTACAATTTTCAAGAAAAAAATTATTTCGATTCAAATTTTATTCATTTTGCTGTTTGAAATATTCTATACAATTCTATTTGTTAGTTTCTTTTGTTAAATAATATTCGATTTAAAAAATATAAACAAAAATTTTATTTTTTCGGTAAATAAATTATAAATTATAATTTACTGTTTCTTATCTTAAAAAAAAAAAAAACACAGAAAGTTAAATGATTAATAATTAATAAAAAATTTTTGGCTCAAAATAAAATTTTTTGAAAATTGTACAACTGAATTTTTGAAAATTTTATGAAATCAATTTTAATTTCAGTTTTAATTGTTGTTGACAAAAAGTTTTTTGTTTGAGATTATGTCAATGGGTTGAAAATCCTTAATTTCGTTTTTTTAACTTTTGACAAAGATTTCTTTTTTTAGAAAAAGAAGAAGGTGTAAAATTTTTGAGTGATAGATAAAGACTCGAGAGGGTAACAAACTTTAATGTGCAAAAAAGTTTTGCAATTTTTTTGAAATTATAAAGTTACAACTTAGAAAATTATCTTATATTATCTATAGTTGTTGAAACGAAAATTTGTTCTGTTAGTTAGATATATTAATAAGTGCTTAGATATTTCTTTTTTTTTTTATTAAAAATATTTTAAAAATAGAATATATATTTTCTTCCAACGAGAATTAATGCAGTATAAACTTTGTTTAACCACAACGTAAATATTTATATAAAAAGTTTTCGTATACATATGTATTGCAATCGATCGTTTAAATAAGTAAACGTATTCAACGAAATTTTCGACAAAAAAAAGAAAAATATTAAAACGCCAGATTTATAGTTTGTAATTTATTTTTTATTTATTTGAAACGAGAGCTTATTGAGTAGTGATATATCGTTCGTATCATGTTGACATTTCAGATAATAATTTTATGTAAACTATTTTTTTAATGACAATAAAAATCCTGAAATTTAAGTTTTATAATAGTCTTTTTATTATACCTGTAAAATTTTTCTTATTTTTATATTAATTTATAGGGTCAGACCATTATATTTCATCTGAAATTATTTTCAATCCTTTATGACAAAAAAAAGGTGTAAAAATAGTTCAAAATTGAAGAAAAATTATTACTTTTTAGTAAGTGAGAATTTTTTTTAGTTTATTACTTTTACAGAATCAATAATTTGTGTTTTTAAAATATTAATTTATTTGTAAATATAATTCATTGTATTGATAAATTATTATTTTTTTTTTTTATTAAATCTTATAATTCATTTGAAACAAAAATTTTAATTTCTGGTTAATTTCAATATTAAAAAAATGTAAAACATATTTTTATTAAAAATTTCCTTTTATTGCAAAATATAGACATTATAATTCTGAAATTCACGCGAATATTTGAGTTTCAAGTTTGACAAAATCATTTTAAAAAAAAAGTTTATTATTCTAATCATGTGAAACATAAATATGCTCGTAAATCGAATATATCTTTTATATAATTATTATATTTTGTGTAGAAAATTCGTTTCTATTACTTGCAATGTCATAACAAGATATTTACAATGATTTAACATTCTAAAATTTCTTTTCAAAGTTCATACAATTGTTTTATAAATTAAAATTCTATTCATTTATTTACATAATCAAAGTTTATAATATTAATAACGTTAATGTATAAAATCATTGTAAATTTCATGATTCTAAATCTATATTACAATATACTATATTGTACTTTTCTATATTTACAATATATATTTACAAGAATTTTATTTAATTCTCAATAATGTCTATAAATTAAATAATTTTTGTTTAAATTTCTATATTTTACAAATATTAACTAGCATTTAAATTAAGCTTTCTTCTGCGAGCGTCAACGTCCTGTTGTAATTTACGTAACATTATATCCATAGCTAATGTTGCGTCTTGAACTGAATCATGAAATTCACCAGGAGCGCGAATATCTTTTTTTAATATTAATTTCGACAATGATTTAAGACTATAACAAAATTGTGGCCCCCTTTCGTGTTGAAATACAAGGGAAGTATCAATAACGCGTTTATGAATAAAACGTAAAATTCGAAGATCATTATAAACACCATGACCAATTAACAATGATTCAGCGTGAATAAATTTTCTTAAATCATTTTGTACATCGCCCAATGTTTTTGTTGCTGTTAAAATTTCTTCCTCAGTAATACCATGAATTTCGGTGCCATAGTCTACTATTTCGTCGCCGGGCTTAACAAAATGATCATACACAGCAGTGCCATTCATTCTTACCACTGATATTTTAATGACTTCCATTCCACGTTTTGTGAATGCCATTTCACAATCGAGAGCATAAACACCGTAGCGAGTTTTTTCAAATGCCAAATCACCCAATGGTATTGTTTCCACGTAACCAAGTAACGATTCATTGACACCATCAGTGAATCCACTCCACACGTGCATTGGAAAAATTGTACAAAATTGCCTCTCGTATGCATCACTGCCGCAACATTGCCATACACCCATTAATAATTTACCCGGATGTACATAACATGGCTCGCCACCATGTAAATAATCGCCGGTACGTGAATCCATTGGGAAAAAACTCGAGCATCTTGCACATTTTCGCAATACCTCTGTCTCGCTTAATTTGAAATTTGGATTTTGTGAATAACATTTTTTTATATATCCATATTTTCCAACATAAACTCGAGCATAATTAAGATTGTCCTTGTCAATTTCGGGAAATCCACGGGCAAATAATTCTCGTTTCTTAACGACATAGGCTTGAAATTTTGCCTCCAATTCACTATCACTAAAATTACTCATACTTGTCCGCACTTCACTTGAGCCAAATGTGGTAGAATCATACGATATAATACCAGGAAAACAATCTTGTTCTGTAAAAAAAAAAAAAAATCGTCATTAATATTTTATTTTCAAATAAATAAATATTAGAAAAATTTTACCAAATTTTTTTTTCTCATTTATTTATTATATCATTTTGCATTTATATTTCCGATTTTTTTGGAACTTTTTTTTCTTTCGGTATATATACTAATTGAGAAAAATTTTCATGAATTTTTTCAAAATATTTTTTTAGCATGTCGTTTACGAGAAATTGATTTTTCATAATTTCGTAGTTTTAATGATTTAAAATATTTTTGAATGCTCATAAACTTCTTTAAAAATGCATCAATTTTAAAAGTTTTTTTTTTTTAATTCTGTGATTTTACATAATATTTTTGAAAATTCAGTGCACAAAAAATTCCAGAAAAAAAATTAACTATTTTTTGCAATTTAAAAATTAAAATTTTACTTTTAAAACTGTACTTTAAAATTTTTTTTTGAAATACTTTCAAAACAATCTCTTACTTTTACAAAAATTTCAAGCCTGATCCCCGCGGTCGTGATCAAACAATTTTTTAAATATTTTCGTAATTTTTAAAAATTTTGAATTTTTTAAAAATATGTACCTCCGTTTCTTATACCACGTAAATTTATATATTTTGATGCGCTGATTATAAAATTAAAGTGATAATACCCGCCAATTTGATTTTTATGGTGAAAATCATAAAAAAAGACAAAATTTGTAGTTTTTTTCTTTGTTTATTGGGTAAAATATGCAAAATTTTGAAAAAATCTATAGGATATAGAAAATGTATTATAATAAGATAATCAACTTTCGTCGAAAAGTTTTTCTTTTTAATTTTGCATATTTTACCCAAAAAACGAAAAAAAAATATACAAATTTTATGTCTCTATTGTGGTTTACATCATAGAAATATAATTTTTGGGTTTTGTCACTATGATTTTCGTAATTAACGCCTAAAAATACATAAATATACATAGTATAAAAAAACAGGAGAAATTTTAAAAAAATTTAAAATTTCGAAAATATTAATAAAATCGCTTGCCAACGATGCGATGGAACCAGGTATTAAATTTTTGTAAAAAAAAGTAGTATTTTTTTTGAAAATTTTTCCAAAAAAATTGAAAATACATATTTTGAAAAATAAAACTTTTAACTTTTAAATTGCAAAAAATATAGTAAATTATTTTTCTAGATTTTTTTTCACCGAATTTTCGAAAAATTCACATAAAGTCGCACAATTTAAAAGAAACTTTAAAAATTGATGCATTTTTAAGAAAGTTATGAGCATTCAAAAAATAAAAAATCATTAAAAGTCTGAAATTCTGAAAAATTCATTTCTTGTAAACGGCTTGCTAAAAAAAATTGAAAAAAATCATGAAAGCTTGTCTCAATTAGTAATAAAAAAAAGTTAAAAAAAAATCGGAAATGTAAATGCAAAATAGTGTCTAATTTGGCGTAGAAAACTTCATATAAATGTCGATATATTTACGAAAATATTATAATTTTTAACACAAGTTTTATACGATGCTGAAGTTCACAAGGTTTATAATCAACGATATTAAAAAAAAAAATTTTTTTGAATGAAAAATTTTATGAATTTTTGCCTCAAAAATATGCCTTACCATGTTTATTTATCAACAAATTATAAATAAGGCACGATTTTTAGATAAAATTCTTTACAATTTTCCGTCTTAAAACAAAATTTGTTTTTTTAATCGTTGATTATAAACGTTGTGGCCTTTAGCATAATATAGTATTTATTTCCCTTACGTTTCAAAAATATATAATATTTAAAATTATTATAATTTGCACACTTACTAGAATGTTCATTTTTTTGAATTTTCATTTTCATTATTTTCATTTGACAAATTTTGTTGATTAGAATAATTTTTATCGCACAATAAATTTTTGTCTCGACTGTTAATTTCTGGTTTTTCGTATAACCTAAAATTCATTTCAAAGGAATCCTTAAATCATCGTTTTCATATAATTTTGATCAAAATTTTCATTTCGATAAAAACAAAACCGGCATAAATATTTTTGGGACGAATTTTAAAAATCACCAATCAAAAATTACAAAGAAAATTCTCATCAATTCAAAAAATTCCCGCTATATAATAATCGTAAGGGAAATTTTTTTACATAATTATAACAAAAAATTTATTTTATTATAATTTGATTTTGATAAAATTTTTCATATTTTGAGTAAATCTGTTATGATCAAAAATTTTAATTTTTTAAAAATAAAATATGTTATATATTATTTTTATTTGAATTTAATGAATTAAACTTTTTTAAAAAATAATTTTTATTACTATTATTATTAATTTCAATTATTAAAAACAAATGTTTAATTAAGGTCAAATATTTAACAGTGAAAACATTGTTTTCAACAACAATAACTCATTTTAATGTAAAAGTTAAAACTGAGCAGCGATTTTTTAAACATAATCATAGTTGTTTACTACAATTATTGATATAAACCAATGAAAATTATTTTATTTATATTATATTACTTTTTATAGACGAATCAGAATTTTTAAAAATATTAATTAAAAAAATTCAAGAATATTTATGATTATTTATGAAAATTTTATTTTCTTACCATTTACTATCTCAGCGTTAGGCCCATTTACTTTTTTATTGTTCACCACGTTCGTCTCGTGTCGTCCTAGAGAATTAAAAGGTTATGAAAATTAATGGTTTTTCTTTAAAATAAAAAATCTTGAAAATTTAAAAATAAAAAATTTGTTAATTCTTTATTTACTTACCCATAATTATTATAATTCAACAGTTGAAAATTTCAGCTTGTATATTTGTATTCTTGTTATCCTCCTGCAATAAAACGTAGAAAAAATTATTGAAATAAATTTTTTCTCTCATTTTTTGAAAGGTAATAAAATTCTGAGAAGGGGACTGAAAGGAGTTTTTATGCATTTTTCCATTAATTAGATAGTCCTTTATCTATGATAGTACTAAATCTATTTTTAATAATAAAAATCCTTCCTCATATGACACAAGTAAAAACTCCCGAAATTATCATAATAATCAAATGAACAAACACAAATATTAAAGAATGTTTATTCACGACACAAAAAGTTAATCACAACGACACTATTTACAGAAATTAATAGTAATATAATTGCTGAAACGTCCCAGTATTTTTTATATATTTATAAAAATATTTTTCATGTTGTTCACATTATAGCTGTCAGTTACGCTATACGTAAATAATTATAGAAAACACCTCATTGGTCGTAATAAATAGCGCGCGATTATTTAAAAATATTAATTGTAACATTTTTAAATTAATATAACTGTTTTTGTTCAAAAAATTTACTTGGGGGAAATAATAGTAATTACAATTATATGTTATTTAATTTAATTATTAAAAATCTATAAAACTAAAAAAAGTTTATTTTAAAAAATAAACAATTAATAAAAACGTGATATATAAATTTGGACTTTCGATTTACATTCGACCTTTTTACCCATGCCTTTATTTTTAAAAAGGATCGTATGTGACTTTTTTTAATTTCAATTATAAATTGATTTTATTAAGTTTTTTATTTATTTCAATTGTACCGTACTTTACTCGGTATGTGAAAAACTTTGGCTTTCAATCACCCCGGTTAAGCACAGAAGAGTACGGTTAGTACTTGGATGGGTGACCGCAATTGGTGTTAAGCCCAATTTAATTCAATTATTAATAATTGAGAAAATATTACTTACCTACAAAATATTTGAACTATAAAGTTCTGCTCCACACGTCAACACGTGAAGTCCTCCTGTGGTGATCCTAAATATCACAACGCACAGTTCCACTTGTGTTTTCCGCTGCGAAAAACTTGGATTTTAATCACGCACTTTCACTTCAATAAACGAAAGTCCGTGAAAAACTGTTCTTCTTCGAACCTGGCTATCGCTTAGCTGCCTGTTCCTGTCATTTCGCATGCCTCGCCCCTTCCCGCCCTTTTCCAAGGGCCTAATAATGGAAGGGGCAAAACTACAAAATGTGAGTGGGGAGTCAACGAGAGAAATGAAAAGCCCTTTATGGTGGGGTTTGAAAGCAGTGGAAAATTTCTTCTTCATATTTCAATGGAAAGATTGAAAAAAAATTTTTGTATTTTATTTCTCAATAGAAATTAATTGTTATAATTACAATTTAATAATTTTTTAGGACACTGAGATAAAAAAAATATTTAGATGACATTTTGATAAAATATATATCAAAAATAACATTCTGTTTTTTGGTTTTATTTTACTGTCTTAAAGAATATACTCTTATTTTAGTATAATCTATGTTAAAATACCTTAAAAATTATCATTTTAAAAAGTACACTAAAAATAATTAAATTGGTATTTAATTGTAAATATATTTTTATAAAACCGATTATTATAATGTTAAAATAAATATTCAATTTTTTCATAAATATTCTAAAAGCATTCTAGGAAAAATTTCAACTTAATTTTATAATTAACATCAAAATATCGATAATTGATCTTATAAAAATATTTACTAATAATAATAACACGACTTTTAAAATTTTTGATTATTATCTACGAAAACAATAGAATTAAAATTAAAATATTTGTACGTAGAAATAATTAGTATACAATTAATTGATTCAGATAAATATTTACACTGGAAGCTCGATCAAAGGGACAATTGATGTTTTTTAACCCTTGATCGCGTGGATCTGTCAAGCGTGAAAATATCAACAAACAGGGCCGTACTTACTGGTTCATGCTCAATGATATTTAAAATTATTTTTTTTCCTAATATTATTATACTTATTTATATTATTATATTCTATTATTATAAATATGTAAAAATATGTACATATATAATAATTATATTATGATTATTATATTTTTTTCTTCAGCCATCTTATAGTAATATACAGTAAGAGCCTCACGATACCTTTAATATATGTACGGTCCTGCTGCCGCTTGAGAGGCCTAGACCTCTCCACACCATTCGTCTGTCTAAACTTGTAAACAAACGCTTCTTGATATATTTGATAATAGAAAAGTAACCGATTATTTAAAACAAATAATTTTTTTTCAATACATATACAAAACATAATATTCGTACTTACACATATTCTAAATTTTAAAATAATGTAAAGGCAAAAAATTCATTAAAAAAAGTTGATATACAATCATACGAAGTGTAATAAAGTATTTAAAATTATGTTGTGGCATGAACAGGGCATTAATAATTATCAAATGATTTTTTTCTCATTTATTTCACATTTTCAAGTGATTTCGACAATCTAATAATAGAACTTTCACGTTGCTGAATTCCGCAACGTTTATTATCGACAATTAAAAAAAATATATTTTTGTAAGATAGAAAATTATAAAATCTGTTTTAAAAAAAAAATGTCTTTTATAATCTGTTCATCCATAAACACTGCAAGAAATATCATTCAAGACGAAAATATTCATAAAATTTTTCAAAAAAAAAGATTTCTTTAAAAATAGTTGATCATAAACGTTGGGAAGTTTCAGTATTGTTGACTTTCCAACTTTAGAAAAATAACCAACCCTAATATACTTTTATATATATAAACCCTATTTGAAAAATTGTCTAAATCCCTTGAAGTACTTTAAAGATACCGATCAGAAATGGTATAAGACCTAGTTTTTAGAAAGACAATTTCACATTTTTGTCAAGACGGGTGTTATTTCAAAAGCCCGACTTTCTCATTATCGTGATTGTATTGTATAAGAAATATTGTAAACCTTTAGGGATTTTACAACTTGTACCGCTGTATACCTGCCACACATTGGCAAACGGGAGTTGAATACAAGTATAAGTGTGTGTCTATATCTAGAATCTTTTGTCTTTCATTATCTACATATCCTTCAGGTATTTTGCCGAAAATATTCTTCTTTACACGGGTTTTAGAAATAGAAATAATCAATAAAAATTGAAATGAAATATACTTTTTTCATATTTATAATTTTTAAAAAATTTTCAAATGTCTACCTTATCAACTGACGATACAATGAGTTTCACAAGATAACATGGTTGGGAATGCATTATAAACATCCACGTAATATAGTTTTCCGTGGCAAAACAACGCAACGATATGTTTAAAATAAGGTAATATACATTATTTTTACGTAAAACACTGTATTTAATTTTTTACAATAAAGCAGTTCAGCTAACCATCACCTGGTGTAAATATATAAACAGTAACCCACATCTTTGTTGTAATCTTTAAAAGTCAAAAGCGATCGATAAGGAATCAACGTCATTTACGTCATTTGAGTTTTTTTAATACACGCAGGTTTCAAACTTATGTGAGTTCAGTCGTGTTTGTATATGTCGAACATTGGAAGCATATAGCAGGTTAACTCAAATGGTTTCTAATTATTTGTACATTTGATATAATATAATATAGAGAATTGTAACAAAAAAATGAATATAATATATACAATATCGTCGGTTTTAATCTTAACTATTTTCTCAAATATTGGATATTGTTTAATTCAAGACAATGGAAATTCGACAGAGATTCGAAATTATCCTTTACTTATGCCAAACGTCAGTCCGAAGACAGTAAGTATTTTTTCCATTATTTTTATTTATACACACACACCTGTTTGAATAGAAAGATTGGCAGATGTTAAATTATTTGTATATTAGTTTTAAATTGAAATATAGATTATTACTTACTTTAATACAACATATTTTTATAAAATTTAATACTTAAATATTGTTACTATTTTTGTAAACTTTTTTAGTGATATTTATATTTTTTAAATGGTTTTCAATAATCTATTGTGTATATAATCCTTATCTCTAAAAAAAATATTCAAAAAAACCCAACACGCATGTTATGAAATATAAAATATATCTGAATGTTGTAAATATTTTATTTAAATTATGTTTTTTACGTTTGGAAATTTAACATGAAATAGCCATAATTTAAATTTTTTATTCGAATTATCTATTTTTAATTTTTTATTATTCATGCGTGGGAGTAAAAAAAATCATGTAGCATATGCAATGTATTATCTTTGAATTTTACATAAAAAAAAAAGATATAATTTGTTCTATATATGTTGTATTGATAATTTTTCGTTTTAATTATTTGACTATTTTTAAAATATATTTCACATGAAGAACAATAAAATGTAATTTTTCCGTCAAGTACATCTTTTTTAAGGAGCAATTTGTAAGGTATAGTAAACATAAATTACTGGTCAATTTATGTAAATAACATTTTTAAATTCTTTTTACTTTTTTTTTGTAAACATTATAATTTGTCGTGTACCTACATAGATTAAAAAATATATTTCACATATAATAGAAATATATTTTTTTCTTTGCAATTAATAATTTATAATAGCTTTTAGAATTTTTATTTTTTAAAATTAAATTATTTCGAAAAATTATTTAAAATTTATTGTGATTCATAAAAGAATCAATAATAATAATAAAAGAAAATTTTATAACAAGATTAATTATTATCAATTTTGTTTTGAACTTATAAATGTTGTGTGAATCCCGTGTTTTATCTTCTTTAATAATGTTTTTAATTATAAAAATATAAAGAGGAAAATTTATTTCAAAATTATAATTAAAAAAATGATTAAATGAATGAATGATTAAATAATTTTTATTTTTAAATTAAATAAATTGTATTTGGACCAATAATTTCTGTATTTGGCTCAAATAAAAATTATATGGTTCAAGTAAATATTTATTTGATAATAATCAAGTAACTGAATATTTGAATCAAATGAATATTTTTTTCAGTGTATACTTATAATTTGAAAATTATCTTTAATATTTTAAATTACAAGAAATTATGCACTTTTATAATGTGTACAATATGTGTACGTCCGCATGAAAAGGGACCACTTTAGTTTATCTTTCATAAGGGCGATATTTGCATTAATGTTCATGCAAAAATAATTCTTATTGTAATAGACAAAGTGATCCCTTTCAATGCAAACGTACGCATATAAGAAATTTTTATTAAAAAATTTGAAATTGTTAATGATTTATTATGCTTGATATTATAATAAACATTAATTTAAAAAAATATACATAATATCCCTGTAATAATTAATATTATTATTTTTGGAATAATTAAAAATGTTTTTCTCATGTTCTTTCAGCCAGAATTATATTTATGTACACCAGTGAGAGTAGACTATTCAAGAAATTATTATATCGTTGGTTTTCAACCGAATGCAACAATGCAAACGGCACATCATATACTTATTTATGGATGTACGAAACCAGGAAGTTCAAAACCAATTTGGGATTGTGGGGAAATGGCGAGAAAATCTGAAAGAGGTGGTCTTCCTCAAGCAGGTGTTTGTAAAGATGGCTCGCAGGTAAAAATTTTCTAATACACAATAATTTTGACAATTTTTGACAATGCTTGTCAAAAGCATAACAGCTATTTTAAGGAAGAGTCAGACAAATAATTAAAACAAAAGTTAAAGTACAACTTCATATTTTCAAATCTTTAAATAAAAAAAATTAAATACAAAAAAAAAACAATTTATTAAAAAATTTTCAGTGCATCAGTGTAAACAATTTAAACCACATTAAACAAAAAGTATACAAAATCTGCTTTTTATTTATGTAATTTTTAACTTAGTTTTATTTTCAATTTATGAATATTCATTTAAAAAAAAGATATTTTTTCCTTATTTGAGATGTTCTGCAAGTTCTGAACTTTCAAATGAACGAATTTGTTTACTGCTTCTTTAAATAAATAAATAAGTTCAAATTTTATTATAAAATATTGGTTTTTCTTATAGAAAAAAGATTTTTTTTTAAATTTGACACCTAGCTGTAATTGTAGTGTGAAATTTTGGTATATTATAATGTTATTAGTAAATTGGCTTTTAAAAATCAAAAAAATGTTTTAAAAACGAAAAAATTATGTTGAAAATTTGGAAAATCTGTGAGAATCTACTTCAATCATAAAATTCACAAAAGCAAAAGTGTCAAAAATAGTTAAAATAGTCAAAATTAGTTATGACTAAATCACAACACGACTAAATAGTTTAAAATATTTTTTTATAAAGTATAGAATTTTGGTTATAGAAGAAAAAAGTTGCGATTTTTTTATATATAGCCACGGTTGACGGTACCATAATTTTATATACAGTTCAAAATTTTGGAAAACACAAAAATATTTTTATTTTGTCTAAATTATTTTTCGTTTAAAAAAATATTAAAAAATTGTTCTAAAATTATTGTTGAGTAATTTTTAAAAAAATGTTTCTTATATTCTATTTATTAAAAATATTTTACAACTTTACAGATTTAGAATAAATACAAAGCATTTTGCAGTTTCAATATCAGCAGTCATAGAATTATATATACATCTATTACATCTTGTTGCATTAATTTTTCAGAAAAATGTATTTTTAAAATAAGTATCTAATTATTTTTTTGTAGTAGTGCATTATTAAAATTTCAGGGCTCGGATTACACGACTTTTTCGACTTTTACCGACTTTTTTTCAAAAACAAGACTTTTTTCGACTTATTTTAATAAAATGCAACTTTTTCGACTTAAAAAAATTTTTTTTTACAAAATTTTTAAACAAAATACGTTGTTTAGGATACAATTCAAATCTCCTTCAGATCTTCTTTATTTCAATTATTTAACAAATTTTTAACTAAAATTCTTCACTAAATTAATTATTCTTAATAATTTTAATGAAATTCTTCACAAATTGAATTATCTTAAACTATTTTTCAATTATATTTTTTATGAAATATAATAATTGTTTATAATTTAAAAAAAATAGCAAATAAAATTACGAAAAATGTTTAATTCAAAATTAAATTATTTGCAAAACTTTTAATTATTTTTAATGATTTTTATAATATTCTTCGAAAATTCAATTATCTGAAAGCATTTTGTAATGGAAAAAATTTTAAAGTTCAATTTTTGTGTGTAATTTCTAATAAATTCTTTAATTATTTTCAAAAAATTCAATAGAAATTCAATTTTTTTTTAAATATTTTTTCTCAAAATTTTAAATTAAAAATCACTTGAAATTCAATGAATTTCAAAAATCTAAATTGTAAATCTTTGAAAATTCAATTACTTTTAAAAAATGTTATCTAAAATTATTTGATAAATTATTTTTAGTTCTGTAAAATTTAATACTTGTCTGAAAATTAACCAAATCTTTTGAAATTCAATCATTTTTAAAAATTTCAACTTTAACTCTTCCAAAATTATTATTATTTAAAAAAAATTTGTAATAAAAAATCTGTAAAACTTGATTAAGTTTTTGCATGATATTATTTTGACCATCAAAACTCAAAACTATTCATAGTATACAGGAATAAATACTACTACTACTACTACTACTACTACTACTACTACTACTATTATTAAAAAACTGAAAACTATGACAAAATTTTTAATTCGAATAAATTGCTTAAATCAAACTTCAAAAAATTATAAAAATGTAACTTCAAGAATTTTTTTCGAAATTTGTTCTACTTTAATAAAATTTTGAAAATTTTTTCTTACAACTAGTTCGATTGTGAAATATTGGAAATAAATTTTCTTGATAATATTTTTATAGAATTATTCTCAGTACAGAATTAATAAAATAAATTTAATATCCATAACATTATTTATTTAAAGTAAAATATTCATTAATCAATTAAATTTTGTTAAAATGAAAAAATCGACTTTTTCGACTTTTTTTGGAATATAAATCGACTTTTTTGTGCCTTAAATTCGATCCGAGGCTTGAAATTTATTAGAAGAATTAATTTTTAAAAATAAAAAAGTTGTGAATTTTTTAGAATAATGGTCATTTTTGTATGAAAAAATTAAATTATTTACAAAATTTTTTATATTTTATAAAATTACAAAAATAGTATAAGAATTCGTTGTAACATATATGTATATTAGTATTTTGTTAAAAAATTGCATATTTGTGGAAATTACTAAAATCAGCTAAAATCGTATTGCCGCCATATTAAATTTTTCTTAAACATGCGCAATTAAAAATAAATTTTTTTTTTGACAAAATACTAATATTACTCCGGCACATGACAACGAATTCTCATACTATTTTTGAGTTATTTACAAAATTCTAGCTCAATCTATGAAGTACATGTAATTTGCGAGAAAACCTGCGGAGAACATTTACATTTAGAATCACACAATTACATGATCTTAAAATTTTGTTTGCATAAAACATAATTTTTCAGTTTTGAAGTTATGTTAATGCCCTCATCCTACTTAAATAAAAGTTTCTAAATTTTCAAAAATGAAATTTTATTTTCACACCAGATTATTTACGCCTGGGCAAAGGATGCACCACGTTTAGATTTACCGAAAAATGTGGGTTTCAAAGTTGGTGGTAATACAAAAATTCAATATCTCGTCCTTCAAGTACATTACGCTCATGTCGATCATTTTATGGATGGCAGTACCGACGATTCGGGTGTAATTCTTCAATATACATTAGAACCAATGCCCTATCAAGCTGGTGTTTATTTACTTGGAACAAGTGGTAGTATTCAACCAAGAGCAAGAGAAACAATGGAGACTGCTTGTCAATTAACTGAAGAGAAGACAATGTATCCATTTGCATATCGTGTACATACACATTCATTAGGTCGTGTTGTTTCCGGTTATGTTATTAAAGCAAAAACAAATGAATGGATTGAACTTGGCAAAATGGATCCACAAAAACCACAAATGTTTTATCCAATTCATAATAAAAATCCAATTCATCAGAATGACACACTTGCGGCGCGTTGCACTATGCAAAGTAATCGTAATCGAATCACTTATATTGGTGGGACAAATGAAGATGAAATGTGCAATTTTTATTTAATGTATTATGTCAAAAGTGGTGAACCAATTGAGGATAAATATTGTTTTAGTCCTGGACCACCTTTTTATTCGTGGTCTTCTCAAGGATTAAAAAATATTCCTGATAAAGAAGCTTCTCAACTTAGGAAATTTCCTGGATTTTTCTAATTATCCACTTTCTTTTTCATAGAAAGGATTTTGATTATCAGACTTGGAAATCTGATTTGTAAAAACTGAAAATGTTTTCAAAAAATCACCCCTCAAAAAAAAAATATTAATTTTCTTCATTTTGTAAGACGATATAAATAACGCATATCAAACTTACTAATTTTATTTTTTATTTTAATAATTATTATTTTTGACCGATTTGATGAAAAATTGCCACAAGCAAAAAAAAAAATCCATTGCAAATATATATATTTATGAAAAGAGACTGAAGAATATTTTTACTATAGTTGGATTTCAGTCTGATTCTCGAATATAAGATATATAAAAGTATTTTTCATGTCATATTATTGATTTATTTTATTTTTAAAAAATACTGTCATGTATTTTTTACATTGAAGGCATTATTATTGGCTCAAAAACCAATTTTTATGATCCAGTTATTTTTTTTTTTTAAAGACATTATCATTTTTCATTAAATGTTTATTTTAATTTTGAAAAAAAAGTGGACACTAGTCAGAAAAAAGTGCACTGAGAAGACTGCATTTTGAACTTAATTTTATATGCGAAAATTTAATGTCTCTTATCTATACGTTTACTTTTTATTTAAGGTCATATGTCCAATATCGATGGCATTAAAAAAAAAAAAAAAATGAAGTGCGTTGAAATACAATTTTTGTCAAGCTTCAAGTCTGATATACACTTTTTTCATACTATTTTTTTATGTTTATTTAAAAAAAAATTCCTCTAAATTTTTATTTATTTTTTTTTAATTCCCTTTTATTTAGTTTGATAATTTGAATTTGAATTTTTTTTTGTATAATTACGATTTAAGTTGTTTGAAAATATTTTCTTAGTCACTTATATTGAAGTACAAAAGTTATAGGTTTTGAGCCAAAAAAAAGGAAAAATAATTTTTTTTTAAAATAAATTGTTGAAAAATATTAGCGCAAATTTTCCTATATTCTGTTGTATAATTCTGTTGAATATTGCGATTAATGATTGTGAGTTTGTTCTTCTATAAATAATTTTAATAAATATTTAAGGACAAATTGTATAAAATGGAATGTAAAGAATCATACGAAAGGCAAATATGTTTTAGTTTTTATTATTTTAAATGTTAATGCTTTTCATAATAAAGAAAGCAAAATTCGGTTATTTTTTAAAACTTATATACAAAACTGTACAAAGTATAGACGAATATGCCGAGAGCCTATATATGTATATGTGATGTACTAAAATTAGTTTTACATAATATAATATTTAACAATTATTTTTTAATTGTCTCAGGAAGAAAAATCGGTATGTCTGAAGAAAAAAAAATAAATAAAAAATTTATATATAAATATTTGTTATATTTTCAAAATATAAAAGCGAAAGAATATTGATTAATTTTTTGCTTCAATTCTCAAAATGATGCTTTTTTTCTACATGAAGTCAATAAATTATAATTTTCAAAACTAAAGCCGCTTTATTTCGCAATATTTTTATTTAAAATTAAATGTTATTTTTTGTCTGCGATTTTAATGTAATATTTGACTGAGAAAAAAGTTTAATGGAATTTTGGTCTATAATATGCAGCCCTTCTTGCATCTGTGCTTATACATTGAAAAAGTTGAACTCGAAGAAAATTGATCAAAACTGAGTATTTTTATTCATATTTTCTGTCTAAAGAAAAATGTTACTTAAAAATTAATTATTTAATTTTTAAAATTTCTCATAGACAAGTGAATATAGTTAACTTGATTAAATATTTAAATAAAAAAAATTATACTTAAATTAAAAGGTTTCAATTGAAAACAACTTAAAAAAATATCAGAATCTAATTTCGAAAAAAAAATTGCAAAATTATTTTTTCAAGACTTGTGTTTTTATGTTCAATTAAAAATTTAGATATGTATGGATGTGTGTTCTTAAATGTGATGACAAAAGTGTAATAATAATCAAAAATCAATATTTTATGTAAGCAATAAATTAGTGTGATATTTGTAATAATATTTCGCTGCAATATATTTTTATGATGAAAAAAAAATGATTTTCAAATAATCGTTTACTCGATTATTATCAAAAAAAAAAACCAATAATTTAAACCAATAATTTCTGTATTTGAAACAAATAAAATTTTATTGACTCAAATAAAAATTATTTGATTTTAAAAAAAATTTTATTTGATAATAGTCAAATAACCGATTATTTGAATAAAATCATTTTTTTTCAGTGTACGAGTTCAATTTTTAACGATTTTCTCAGTTTATTAATTTATTAATTTTTTAAAGTGATTAATTCTGTCCATTAAAAACTTGAGACTATTGTATAAGTTTTGGTCCGATCTCGCACAAAAAAAAGTTGTGTTATATATTAAATCTTTTCATATATTATGTATTTGAAATAATTATGTGATTCACTATTCTATTAATTATTACATATTCTTAACTATGTATATATATATATATATATTAATTTACGCATCTTCCAGAAAATATACAGAAAGTATATATATAAATATTTGTAATTTTTACAAAATTTATGGAGAATAAGCTATAAAAAATTTGTAGGTTATTATTTTAATAATTGCAAATGCATTTAAAACTTCTATAAATATTTTAACTAGATTAAGTATATAGTTGTGTTTTTAGATAAAAAAAAAAAGAATTACTTTACACCTAGTAAAAAAATATATTATTGTTCAAAGCTAAAAAAGAAGAATTTTTGTTTGAAATGAAAATTTGGTTTGGCATAAATAAAATTTTGATAATTTGAACCAAGTAAAATTTATTTGAAAAAAAAATATTATTCTTTAAAAATCGTTGATTATTGGCGATTCAAACAGCTACACTAGCGCCACAGTTGAACTAATTTAGGCGTGACTCGCTCTAAAGCAGTCTCTGTTTTGACAGTTTATTTCAAATTATTTAATTATTCTGATATTTTTATTGCGTTTGTAAAATTATTTTTAAGCGTTAAATAAAAAAAAATAATTTAAAACACATGGAGTGCTACAGAGCGAGTCACGCCTAAATTAGTTCAACTGTGGCGCTAGTGTAGCTGTTTGAATCGCCAATAAGGGAGAGTCCAGAATTGTACGTCGACGTATCATTCTGTCTTTGTCTCTCCCATTGTCTGTCTATAACGCCGACGCGTCGCTATCAACGCGTCGACGTTCAGAAACCACCTATTCTGGACTCTCCCTAAACGTTGTAAACTTCAGCAATGTTTTATTTCAAATATAATATTGCTTCGAATAAAATTTTTTTCTACGGATGTAAAGTATAATATTTTTGTCGTCAGGGATTGGATCAAATGCTTATTTATAATTGTTTATATTATGAATGAATAAATATTTATATTTTGTTACAGTAGTAATGACAATCAATTATACGTTGTTAATATTTTACATTTTTTATGATGAATTTTAAACATCCAAGTTTTTTATTTATAATTTTACATAATTATCATATCATAAATTGTATATTTATGCGCATAAGCGTAGAACCAAGTATTTTTAAATTGACAATTACGATATGTTACATTTTTCGCAAAGTTTAACGCTCTAATATACATTATTATTATTATTATTATTATTATTATTGATTGTGAAGAGAGATTTATTGAAAGAAAGAGAATTTAAAGAAAAGTATATCTGTATTTTCTGATATGTGTCTGAACAGACTTTGTAAAATCTACTCTATGTATTATGTAAAATTGCTATTCCAATAAAAATCAATTACTGTATAAGACTGTGTTTCTTATTTTAAGGATTGTATTGAATTAGATAACAGAAATTTACCAATAATTATCGGTAAATTGTTCGTTTTGTTTGATATTTTGTTTAACAAATAAAATTAATTTTCCAAATCAAATTTATGTTATACAATACAAAAAATGTAAAATACTTTGTTGATTGGAAATTTAAGGTTTATGATATGAAGCACTTTGTGGAAAATCCAAACAGGTTTGTGAATAGCAGAATTTATTTTTTTTCATGTTTGCGTATGGCAGAATTTATTTTTCTTTTTGTATATAAATCTTTGAAAATAATACATAGTTTTTGCTTTTTATTAATTAAATATAAAGGAAGTGACTAATCATTATTATAACTAATTGTAAGAGAAAAGTGAATGCAAAAGTTTATAAATATATGTGGTATCCTCAATTTTCATAAATATCCTGTTTTTAATTAAACAAGAATTTATTGATGCATGTTTCACATATGTTAATTTTAATATGCTTATCAATGTTATAATATTAAAGAGTTCTTCTTTGTTAAGAAATCAATATTGTAGTCCTTTCGTTTATAAAAATTTTCGAAGTGGCGGAAACAAATTTTCCTCTATATAGAAACATGTTATATGAGATCCTGATCAATTATTGTCCGGATATATGTGTGTGTGTGTGTGTGTGTGTGTGTGTGTGGATCCCTTTTTTGTTTAGAAGATAACTTTAACAGGTTTTAATAGATTTAGATAAAATTTGTTAGGCTCATTTATCATATTAATATATCACATCTGACCAAAGGATTTTTAAAAATACCCAAGAAAAAAAATTTAATCGTCTTTTTTCCAAAAATTTTTTTTTAAACGAAAAAATTTTCAAATAGAATAATTTAACGTTATATATAATAAAATCGCATTCCTTACGTCAAGACAAATCCATCAGTATATATAAAGTATAGTTTTAATTTAATTTTAAAGAATTAATGAAAGTTAAAAAATCAAAAAATTCACATTTTGGCTATAAAATTTTGTGATTATTTAAAGTTAAGTTTATAGATGAAATAATTGTATTCCTTACATGAAAACGAATTGATTGGTATATATAAAATTTACATTTGAGGTAAATTTAATAAATTAATGAAAGTTAAAAAAAAAAGAAATTCCCATGTTAGATGAAAAATTTTGTATTTATTTAAATTCAAGTTTAAATATAAAATAATTGTGTTCCATGCATTGAAGCAAACCGAAATAATTGTAAATAATTCTAAATTGTATATTATTTTCAATAAGTTTCAGAAATTTCAGCTAAAATGTGAATTTTTGATTTTTTAACTTCCATTAATTCTTTAAATTTAACTCAAATCTATAGGTACTCATAAGTTTATATTATTATTATATTATTTTTGTATGTTTATTTCAATTTCTACACTTTTGGGTGTATTTTGTGCAAGAAATTGCAATGAAATAGTCCGCCTAAGAATTGATTTTTTTTGTCGATTTTTCTATGACGTAAAGTAATTTAATGGTACTAATAGGGGTCTTCCTTTACTCGTATCGGACTGTCAATTTTTTTCTACATTTTTGGGTGTATTTTGTACACGAAATTGCAATAAAACAGACGTTCCCTGGCGGATTGGGAAAACCGAGTTGTAACCGAATTGGGTTACGATTCGGTTACGATTCGGTTACGTTTCGGTTCATTGTGAAATAATATCGTTAATTGACGAAATATGTAGTAAATAACTATTAGTAATGGTTAATATACATTTAGAGAGCTTATTTATGCAATAATAATAATAAATTAAGATATAATTAATTAATAATAAGTGTTTTAAGTGTACAGTGCATACAGTTGTTGAATTACCATATACATATATGTATATTATCATTAGCGGCAGCTGTGATACGCGCGTTAAACCCTAGATGGCGTTAAGGATCACTTTTTCGAATGAATTTCTAAAATTAAGCCCTTGAGTGTCAAATGTGTAAGTGAATATATAAGTTTTAAAAAAATAGATCAATTTATTAAAATAACTTTTTTGATTTGTACAAATATAAAAAATAAATTTTTATAACGAACAAAAATTTTTTTAATGAGAAAAATTTTTTTCAAAATTAATCTTTTTTATTTTATTGAAGAAAAAGAAATTTTATTAAGAAAAAAATGTTTATTTTTGTTATTTGTTTAATTATTATTATTGTAATTATTATTTAAAATTATTTTTGTTATTTGTTTAATTATTATTTTTATTTTCATCAATAAAATGAGAAAGATTAATTTTGAAAAAAAATTTTTTCCAAAAAAATTTTTTATTCTTAAAATAATTTTTTTCCTCAATGAAATGAGAAACATTAATTTTGACATAAAAAAACTTTTTTTCCCTAAAAAATTTTTTTTTTCTGAATAAAAAAATTTTTTTTCTCAATAAAATGAGAAAGAATAATTTTGACACAAAAAAAACTTTTTCTTATTAAAAAAATTTTTGTTCGTTATAAAAATTTATTTTTTATATTTGTACAAGTCAAAAAAGTTGTTATAATAAATTGATCTATTTTTTTAAAACTTATATATTCACTTACACATTTGACACTCAAGGGCTTAATTTTAGAAATTCATTCGAAAAAGTGATCCT